ATGCGAAACTCCGAAGTCAAATTTATTTCTTCTAGTGGCATTCTATAGAGGGGTCTTCTGATGGTCGATGAGGAAGAAATACAGATACATGCATTTATCATTGTCTCGTTTCCTTGGTTTAATTTCATTCCTGTTTCTGTTTGTAAAATTTTCACCACTTGTTACTTCCCCATGTGTCTGTCACCAGGATAAGGGGTCATATCGTGTATAGCATGCTGTATTACTATCTATTACCTCGTTTAATCTCATGTGCTATAACGGTAGTCTTGAATGAGATAATAAGTCTCCATTTGTATATACATGTACGTCTTGAAATTCTGTTTTCCATGTTTGTTTAAATATCATTTCACACAAAGAATGGCAGATTTTGGGGCATATTCTACAAATTATGTACTCTACTTATATTGTAAACATTACAGTCAGCTTCAGCCAGTTCTGGGAACTGTGCTCGTTATCAATTCCTGTAACTTGATACATGTAATTGGGGTCCTAGGGCAACAAGAAGGTGATAAACTATTTGAATTGGTATTAGCTTAAAAGGTGTCAGTCATACAGATTGGTTTTTCTATGGTTAAGTTTCTGAGACGCAGTTGGGTTGCTTTCGGCGAGTAAAATAAAAAAAAAACTCAATTATATTCGTAAATGATATAATCATTGATAAATTGAGTTAGAGATCTGACCCATACCGTGTCATGTTTAGGCCTTGGTTATATTAGCCATGCGATCTCCGTGCAGTGGACGGAATCTGCCCGTAAATCCCTCTACGTGCGGCGTCTGTGCGGTGGTGGGCGGTGACCGTAAAAGAGCATACCTACGGTGCCTACGTTGCCTCGTCAATTTTCTAGCTAAATTTTTTGACAAATTAAAAAAATTGAATTAGAATATCGTAGGTGGCATTGCACAGTTCCCTTTCTCAACTTGTTCGGTGGACTTGAGGTGATCGTGACAATAGATGAACCTGTTGTTGTCTTCTGTATTGGTTTTAGCATATATAACAACAGTGAAAATGTTAAGTGTGATTTACTTGCATGAATGTTAAGTTGTGCGTTGCCTTACTCTGACCACATGGGTGCTAAAAGCGTTAGGGCCTGCACCGACAACATATCAATCTTCAAGGAATCCGCACAGTAGGGATACAGCGACTGAAAAGACTCCGACAAACTATTTTTCCGTACCTGACCCCAAGGTCTCGACGGATATAAACATGTATCACGGCACCCGAATATAATGTTAACTTAATCGCTGCAGCCTGTAGCCACTTACGATATCAAAAAGATCAAATGGAAAATCGCGTGCAGTTTCATCGTACGGCGACCTTGGCAAATGGCAATAGAGGCTTTAGATATGAGATTTAAAAGTTTACCTATAGGTAGCATCAATACACAAAATAACATTTTATAGTTACCCAATGTCCTTATCAGATGTCAACGTCCTATATGGCAAATATTTACTTAAAAGCCTTGTACTTAGATTGTCACAAGACCGTGAAAAAAAGACAAGCCCCTAATGTGTTCTTAAATGCTTAAGCAATTTGATGACTTCAATAATTTACAGTAGATTTTGAAAAGGATTTCTTTTGTATGAAAACCAATAACAAGGTGTAACTCTTGTGTATAATTGTCATTAATCGTGCTGTCATTGGTCAGTATTTTTAGATAGCAAGAGTGAACCATATGCATATGTAATTTTATTGCAGACCCTACAGGATTCGCTTTGGCTCATGTTGCCATGGATGCGATCAAGTTTATATCATTCGTCTTCCTAATCAGTGTGACCTTTCAACGCGTGAAGAGCGAAGGTTTGTTGCCTTTTGTATAAATTCCTATTTCCTTTCGTTTTTAAAATATATGAGAGAATGGCAAAGAATAGAGGCTTCGTGTTTTACTCGTCTTCAAATGTAAGGTTGGAAATATGCACTGGTCAACTTTCTCAGTCTGTTTCCGTTTATTACCGTTTTATCTCTGCTAGGATCATCGAAGCGCTAAGGCCTAAGGTTATTAATTCAATAATATTATTATCAACCACACGGTGTTTATTTTATCATTTTACTACATTAATTTTATTTTTGGCATGCCATTTTTTCATTTGGATCCATTATATTGGTCAACACATTTTCTGTTCAAGGTGAAGGTGTAATAACGGGCGTGGAACGGTTGGGTTGTAGGACGGAACTTGACTGCAACATCACCAACGGCGTTTGTTTAGAAGGACTTTGCAGGTGTGATAGAGGCTACTATGCACCATATGATGCACGAGTTTGTGAAAAAGGTAACAAATAGCAAATCCAAGACAATGTAATTTTTTTCAAATAAGCACAAAAAAATTAAATATGAATAAGTATTTGAATAATTTATGAAAGAAAGTGTTTACATTCTCATAATTTTGCTAATACTCTGGCATAGCCATTGTCCCATGTTTCAAAGCGTGACTTTGTTGTTGTAATTGAATTAATAAAACATATTTGGGATCTCGTGATGTATATATTATTTCAGAACAAGTGGTGGGCACGTTTTGTCAAAGTGACACTGACTGTGTGAACGGCACCGCTCAATGGGCGTGTATTGGATACAGGTGCCGGTGTGCAAATGAAGGATTTTATGCTACGGAGGGAATGGACACTCCCTGTAAGAATAGTAAGTGTATCTTGTGAAGACAATTTTCTAGCACTGGATTCAAGATTTGTTATTTGAAAATTTTGATTTGTTATGTATAAAATATTTTCTTTCATGTTCTTTTTATCCAATTACGTGTAAAATTTACTTTTCCGAGATTATTAAAATGTTCCTTATCTTCGAAAAAGAAACTGGTGATTGACGATTATCAATGCTATAAACACATTTGTTGGAAACTCAGGATGAAATTGATAACTAGATAGTATATGTTTTTTTAGTTCACATTAAATCATCATTTATAGAATTACATTTCTAGCTCGTCCGAAAGTCGGTATGACTTGCAGCATTGACGGGTTCTGTCAAGAAAAGTTACAAACAGAACACAGTCGCTGTCAAAAAGCCGAAAGAGAGTCTCAAGGTGTCTGCAGATGTAAAGCACCCTATCATGGAAGCTATGGAGAAAGAAAATGTATTATCAGTAAGTAACCACACTATACAGGCTTGGTCAAAACGGTTGTTCCACCTCCAATTCCATGTGCTTGATTTTTTCCTCGCACCATGATTTGTGTGAAATATGTTATGTGGAATAAAAAGCACTGTTTAAAGTGATGTACATCTGTAAGGCGATCATTTATAAACAAACAAACAAACAAACAATCAAAAACACTTATGGAATTGGTAGTGGGACAACAATTTAACCAAGGTCTATACTTATGTATGCATGATGAATTTGAAATGTCATCGGAATGTTTTTTATCTAATGTATGAGTAATGTTTGATATTTAGCATATTGGAGTATAATATATTTATTCACCACCTCTGTTTAATTCTGGTAGCTTTCATGCAACGTTTTGACAAGATGATGAAGTAGTTTTTAACATACACTCTAATATATTGTAGAAAACGGGATAGGGATGGTGGGGTGCTTTGGAAGTGATCAGTGCAACCGGTTCAACACACATCCAGTGGAACTAGTATGTGAAAGAGCCAGTCAGTGGGAATTAGGCACCTGTGTTTGTCCACATGGAACCTATGGGCCACCTGGTGCTTACAATTGCAAAAATGGCAAGTTAACCGACTTTACAACTATTAAAATCCTTTTTGTTGAACGTACGTCAAATAGTTTCGGACTTATATCACCAAAAAGACTTAAATGAGTGTCTCAATGAGTGTCTGAGTTTGGACAAAAATTCAAATGTCATTTCTGAAAATTTAATATGAATATTGGAATATTGGAATTTAGAAATAGTGGTTGGCACATTCTGCAACAACACCATTGATGAGTCCCTGTGTAAGTCTGCAATCACTGACAGCCACTGTCTGGACGGTAGATGTCAGTGCAAGTTCGGTTTCTACGGGAAAGAAGGAGGGAAAACCTGCACCAACAGTAAGAATATCTTGACAGCCGTAAGATACGATATATTTTACATTTTGGGGCATTTATCTCAGCGGTATTTTCACATTGTTTTAATTAATGTCATTGTTTCGTAAAGAGTTGTTGACGTACAGTTTTTAAACAAACAAGTAAACGGAATAAGGTTACTTTTTTCATACATTACATCACCTACAATGGTCTACTTGCACAAACTTTTCAGTGATGGCGGGGATGTGAGCTTCTCTCACATCTTATGGCCTTTTATTTTTATTTGTGCCAACTTTTTGCTCCTAAAGCTGTTGTTATTACTTATAATTTTCTTAATTAATTTGGTTATACTTATTAACATACTTAATTAATTTTATATTATGGCACTTATATAGTTGGGGAGATGTTATATTATCTCCCCAGTTTTGTAACTACGTATTTTATTAGTTTCGTCATTAATAAATGACAATTATCAGTCATATGGACTTATCTTATTTACTTTGGAGCAAAAACAGAGCTTCGTTGTGCTTGTTAACATTTGGCTACATAAATCATTTTCCTTAATTAAAGCTCAAGTCGTAGGTCTCGAGTGCCAAAATGATACCGACTGTAGCGGAGTGAACAACGCCATTTGTGAGAAATACAAATGCTCTTGTATACGTGGATACTACGCTAAAGAAGGGGACGCTGTATGCAAAAAGGGTATTTCATCTAACTAAAATATTTATTTGTCTCCATATCTGCCAATAAGCAGTGGACTTTAATTTGAATATACAGAGTTAAACCAATAGGCTGGGAGTTAGACTCGATATTTATTATAAACTGAAGTGTTTTGTTGACTTCCAAAACGTTGAGAATCAGGTGCGATTAATACCTGGATTCCATGTAAAAATTGTAAGTTATGGTCTGCAGTTTTATTGATTTTTTTCATTTATTGGACTTTGGTATGAATGTGGTATTTTATTTCATTAACAGTGTTGCTTGGTTCTCCGTGTGTGGTTGGCAATGTGGTCTTCTGTCAAACAGCTGTATATCAAAGCCACTGTGATTTTGAAACAGACACGTGCGTCTGTAAGAAAGGTTATTTCAATGAGACGTTGTATGAATGTTTAAAAGGTAAACAGCCTTTGTTAACTTTACTTAAGAAAGTTAACTTTAATGAAGATGTCCTGTGACCAGTAGCACTAAATATCATGGGTATTATTAAGATTTTTTCTGGGGACATAAAGACGCAAGATAGTTAATTGGAAGCAGATTTTAAAATATAGAGATAGTGTAATTGTGCATTATTTTATCTGTTGAAACCAATGCAACCTTCTACGTTTCACAACACTATTTCCTGATATCCATTTTTGTTATTCACCAATAGTGACCTTAGGATCACCCTGCAATGACAGTGCCAAGTGCAGTAATACTATCATGAATAGCACGTGTGAAGCCAATGTTTGCCAGTGTCAGTCTGGATTCTACAACAGCAGCTTGGAGATGTGTGAGGAAGGTAAGCGTAATGAAGATCTACATAGCTTTACAGTGTCTCTGTATTCACTTGCAAAAATAGAAGCTAGATTTCTTATTCTACTTGTGACGACACACTATATGAAATTAATTGCTTTGGGTTTCTGATCTAAGAAATGTTCCCCAGGTAGATTGGGAATAAAGTAAGGTTTTTCAAGGGATGGATTTAAGGTCTTAAGCATTTTTGATAGAAATTAATATGTTAACGTGTTAACTGAAAAACTTAGTAGAGTATTAATTTTCTTAATTTCAGTCGTGTTAGGGTCACCTTGCTCTGCTGACGGTTCATGTACTAGTGTACCACATTCGGAGTATTTGAGAGGAAGATGTGAATGTGATACGACAGCTTACCGCACTGAAACAGGCACCTGTAGTGAGTAATTTCTCTCTTACTCTCTTGCATAAAAAAGCATCAACTTCAGGTTACAGGAACAGGAACGAGAAATACAATATTGAATGATACATACATTGTTACATTTAACAAAACATTTGGTTTTGTTTTATTTAGAGATCAAGAAGGACCTGGGACAACATTGCCATGGAGATGGAGAACAAGAATGTAGAACGCCGAACGCATCCTGCATGGCGGGCACCTGTAGTTGTCTGCTTGGTTTCTATAAACACAAACCAAATGCAACGTCACCGTGGACTTGTTGTAAGATGAAATGCTATCCGCTTTCTTCACGAATATTCAAGTATCAACAATTTGGTCAAATCAATGTATCTTTAGTCTATATTGTCAACTTCAGCATACATCTTTAAGATGCTTTTCTTTTCTGGTAGATGACAGTTGAAGAAATAACATTTTTTTCATTGATGCCATGATGTCATTTTCAATTCAGTGCCCAAATCCCTTGTCGGACAGAACTGCACTTCTGAACACGGCTATGACGTATGCAACGACACCAATGCTGCCTGTAACGGTGGTGTATGTAGTTGTAACACAGGGTTTGCAAGGAGGGAGGATATTTGCGGTGAGAAAAAGTCATTCACTAAGTCAGCGTGTATGTCTTAGTAATTTACGAGGTACATTTGTGACTTGTTTTCGTCCTTCTCGTTGTTGAATTGTGTAAAATTTCTAATGATTGATTTTGCAGTTTCTAAGGTTGACTTCAACCAGTCTTGTGAAACGACAGAAGATTGTTTAGATATAGACGCTGTATGCATTAACAGCACGTGCGATTGCAAGAACGGCACGTACTTGGTCAGCGGTCTACATTTGTACTGCAGTAAGTTTATGTATAAAGTCCTTTTTGTTAACTAAGTAACTTTTTAATGATATGTGCATTAGTGTATGTTTTAAATTAGACATTTAAATTATAAATGTAGTTGTTATAATCAGGCTAAAACATCCCCATGCCATCTGCATACAGACATTCCCCCTTCAGAATGTGGTCAAAAGCGTCTTTAACCCAGCAATGAGTGTTGAAGCTACACGATCTGATGAGCTTTCCTGGAAATGAAAAGAGTATTCCTATTTCAAGAACATTTAGAAAGTAATTATCTGCATATTTGTTTTACAGTTCTGATTTTTATCCACTCCAGTAATAATGGAGATGGAAACTGGATTTTTTTGCGTGATGCTAAAGGCAGATATTCAAAACCCCAGAAACGGGTTATAAATCTTAATTTTCTCAGCGTTTTTTTATAGAATATACGCTAGGGATTCGAGTTGGACGCCTTTTAATATATAACAGTATAACTTATAGTGATACTGCTTTAATTGATATGATTATTGATGTTTTATTATCTCTTGAAGGGCCGCTTGTGAATCTCAACAAACCGTGCCCATCAAACAGACTTGGTGTGTGCAAAGACACAAATGCGGTGTGTATCGAGGGGCGATGCAAATGCCAACCTTCATTTTACGCAAAAGATGGTAACATATGTGGTAAGTTGCAAATGGTGGCAATATTTGTTTTCTCTGATTATATTTTTCTTTATTACATCTAAAGGGACAAAAGGTGTGTGAAATATTGTATGCATGATGTTATGCGATAATCTGAATGCCCTATGATGTTTTTGGATATATTTTGATAACACAAACTTTGAAAGTGAAGTGCTGTGGCAATGCATAGTGCAATGCATTGTGCGAATGTAAGTTTGGTTTTATATCACCTTTTTATATAGAGCATATGTCAGATTCTTGGAAACTTATCACATCAAAAATGAGGCCATTATATATTTACTGCAGATGGATTGGTAAGTACTATTGCAATATTGTGAATTTTTTGAGGAAAATATGTAAAACATAAAACAAACAAAATAAATAAAATATATAAAAACAGAAAAAAATAAGTAGTTCTACTACTACGAACATTTTTTCAGTATCTAAGAAGCCCTTGGGTGCCACCTGTAAGAACACATTGGAATGTAAAATACAACACAGCGTATGTAATACGTCTAACATATGTGCGTGTGACCGTTCTTTCGTCGAAGACGAGGGCATCTGTGGTAAGAAAAAAACGTCTACTATAGTTACACGTCTATTATCAAAATCATTGGCTCAATTGTAGTAGCTGTGACACAAAGAGATAATCGAGTTTAAGAAATCAGCTATTCCATCTCAATATCTGTTTTAATAAAAGCAAACATTTTATATCTATAAAAGCTTGTATTTCATAATAATTCATATGAGTTTAATTTGCCATCAGTGTCGTCTGGAAAGCAAGCAGCACTGGGCGAGGCCTGTACAAGGATAGTTACATGTAACACGACTAATGCGACGTGTAACGACGATACCAAACGGTGCGAATGCGTGAACGGATATTTCCAGCAACAAAATAAATGCGGTAAGCATGCATTTTTTTCACACTAAGTGTATGCATTTACTAAGTAAATGCTTTTTTCATTCATACAAAAGACTATAACTTTATGCAGTGTTTTCCCACGTACCACAAAGTGTAATTCACAAAAGAAAGGGCGATGAATGATATAATACGTTCGAACATGCGTTACAGTCAAAGCATTTTTGACCATTTTGAGTGGCAGTGAATAAGAGTCTGCAGTTCCTACAATGCAGTTTAACAGCGTTGAAATATCTGAATAATACACTTGCTCGTTCGGTAAGGTACTTATATAAATTATATTTCAGTTGAGAAGAAACAGATTCGGGAAAACTGTACCGATGATAACCAATGTAAAGACCAGAATTCTTTCTGCCTTGGCACTTGTCGATGTAATAAATATTATTTTTTCAACATCAGTAGCAGGCATTGTGGTAAGTCGTTTCTGCGTTTATATTTTATGGTTGTATTTAATTAATACTTTAACATTTTCATTTTGCTAAATAATATTCTGGAGAATATTACAACAACCAGAAAATAAAGGGCAGGTTAATCTCTCGTTACATCTTTAGAACAGAAGAAAGGGTTGGAAATGTTTTGCAATGCGACGTTCTCACAACCTGAGCAGCAGTGTCGTCCAAATGGATCGGTGTGCCACAACAATAAATGTCAATGTGATACAGAGAAATACTTTCCCGATGCCAGTGGATGTGGTGAGTAGAAATCTTATTCCATGCAGTGTTAAATGAGTCGTCAGTTTGGGGGGGGGGTGGGTGGGTGGGTGTAGGGGGAATATCTAGTACTGTAGATGATATATATATATATATATATATATATATATATATATATATATATATATATATAATAGTGCATGTACTTGTATGTAATAAATGCAAAAACGTATACGGCATTCGTAAAAATATTATAAGTGTGCCGGTATGTGTACCGATGATGAGATTTTTTTTATCTTATGATTTAGGACTTATTTATTCTCACTACTACAATGATTGAAAAGAGCATTTTGCATATGTATTATCACGGATCCACCCAAAAGGGCAACCTACAGTAATCGTTACCGTTTACCTCTGAATTAATAGACTGTAATAATTTAACCTTTGAGGGGATATTCTTTACATTGTTCCACAGAGGCAAAGATAGAACTTGGGAAAACATGCGACTTTACAAAAGGAAGTAATCGATGTAAACTCAACTCCACTGTGTGTGATGAAGAGACAGGGAAGTGCCAGTGTGACGGTGGTCATTACCAATATGGCACACACATGTGTGGTAAGAAACGACCTTAGATAAATTTAGATGAAACATTTAAAAAACTTGTATATTTTATATTGCGTTGAATGTGCTTACAGATGGAAAAATCTATAAACCTATTACATTTAAACCGTGCAGTAAAAGTATTACTCATTTTAACTTTTACCATTATACATTTTTATTAAGTTGAGTGAAAATGCTTTGATGTGAAAACGGCTATGAGCTGCAGTATAATTACAGAACCGAAACAACAAATCAACGGTACCTGTCGGAACGCGAGCCACTGTATTGATCCGAATGCAATCTGTGTACACTCGCGATGCGCTTGTGAGGAACAATATTTTTATGACGAAACTACAGGAAAGTGCGGTACGTAAGCGCTGTTCTTAGCCTATTCCTCACTAGCCCAATCTCTCTCTTTCTGGGTGGGATATTTTATATACGTATGAGTGTGTGTGCGTGTGTGTGTGTGACTGTGAGTGATACAGCGTGTCTTTATCGTTATTTGCTTAAAAATATTTCTTCATAAAAAATGATAGTAATAATAATTATCATTTTTAGACTTAAATAAACTTCTTGGCTCATCCTGCACCAAGGACATTGCGTGTAAGACTCCCAATGCGACATGTAAAAATGGGAAATGCACCTGCAAAGCAGGCTTGATGCCTATAGTATCTGGAGTTTGTGGTAAGCCTTTTACTTGGATTTTGAATTAAGTAGACGTATCTTTTTTTGTATAAAATGTTATAGCTATCAGTTTCCATTTCCGTATATTTATTTACAATATTTGAATTTATGAATCAAATCTTGTAATTTTTTTCAAATGGATTGGTTTGTATTGTCGTAGTGATTAACGATTTACAGAAATCCAGTTTTACACAAATGCCATCATAATCACCAAATTGCATTTGACAGACTTTTTGCCAAAATTATTTTCGAAAGAAAACTATGGCCCATGTTCCTGACTTCGATTTCTGCTGCTGGCAGTGTTTCTACATCTGTTTCGTAGTGAATGAAGACCCGTGTAAGGTACCACCCACGTGCGCTAATGGAGCCACTTGCGTGGCGGTGGGCGAGCGAGATCGCCGTTGTCAATGTAAACTAGGATTTAAGGGAGAAACATGTGACATAGGTGGATCATTTTATCACTCTTTCTCAAGTCAATTAAGGAAAAATGAAATCCAGATTATCTTTTAAGTTCTTTTCAGTTTAAAAAATCTGCAAATACATTTTGGCTCAAATGAATTTTGATTTAAAGTTTCTTGGAAGATTGCACGTTTATTTATTCTAGTAATGGCTTACTGAGAGAACATGAAGTTGTCAGTGTTAAGTTAACCCCACGTTCAGTATCAATGACCTTTTTTAATCCAGAGGTACCAGATCCATGTATACGTCAGCCATGTAAAAACGCTGGAACATGTGTGAGGACCTCTAACTATAACTACACGTGCTCGTGTACGGAAGACTTCGCTGGGAGACACTGCGAAGATGGTAGCTGTATTTGGGGTTTTATATGCTTTCTTCCTTTTTATATAGAGAGATGATATAAGCATACATTTGGAATTGAAAATTTACTCAAATTTGGGCAATTTTCTCTTGTTTATATTAAAGATGAAAGAAAAAATGGCTCATTATGGAAAAAAATATGCAACGGTATTGTGCTGTATTTTTGCCTTAGGGGCATAAAGGGGTAAGCATTAAATAGTGTATCTGCAAATGCATGTATGTTGTAAAAAGAGAAGAAGTACAAAATACACCTGTTGCATTTCTCTGCAGAGATGTACTACGTTGAGATAAATGCAATTGCTTGATGATTTTCCACTAAATAATTTTCAGGGGTAAGTATATTTCAAAACTCACTCAGCATCGACACAACAGCAATGAAATGGAAGGCCGAATATGAAAACACGTCTTCCCAGGCCTTCAAAGATGTGGCTGATACTATATGCGGCGCAGTAAGTACAATTTAGAGGTTCCAGATCAAAATGGGAATCTAAAGCTCTATGTATGTTTTCTTTATTAGTGAGCATAAATGATTCTGTGATATTGCTGGCCGCTTGTGCATTTTTAACTAAATAAACCAAAGAAACTGCATCAATTCGAGTATTGGATCGTACTTAAAGTTTCAGTACATCCGAATGACTGTTATCATGTACGTAAAAAGTAGGACTGTTTCTGTCACTCTATAAGTAATATATATANTAAATAATTTTCAGGGGTAAGTATATTTCAAAACTCACTCAGCATCGACACAACAGCAATGAAATGGAAGGCCGAATATGAAAACACGTCTTCCCAGGCCTTCAAAGATGTGGCTGATACTATATGCGGCGCAGTAAGTACAATTTAGAGGTTCCAGATCAAAATGGGAATCTAAAGCTCTATGTATGTTTTCTTTATTAGTGAGCATAAATGATTCTGTGATATTGCTGGCCGCTTGTGCATTTTTAACTAAATAAACCAAAGAAACTGCATCAATTCGAGTATTGGATCGTACTTAAAGTTTCAGTACATCCGAATGACTGTTATCATGTACGTAAAAAGTAGGACTGTTTCTGTCACTCTATAAGTAATAATATATATAATAATAATTATATATATATATATATATATATATATATATATATATAATCGAAAACCCTAAGTTGTTCAGTAGGCTTTACGACAACTTGAATGAAAAATAAAAAAGGCTAGTAAAAGAAAAAAAAATATATAAAAAACAGATGTAGAAATTTAAAATGGAACTTCATCACTAGGTGGGCAAGGTGTACAAGAAAGGCGATCTACGAGATACCTATGACAGATGTGAAGTTATCAAATTGTCCAAGGGCAGCATAAAGGGCGACTATAAAGTATACTTCAAAACAAACGCGGGTGCTATTGTAACGGAAAATGCAGTGACAACAGCCTTCAACCAAACGATTGTGAAAGAATCTCTTAGTGAATCTTTGCACGTTCATGCGTCTGACTTGGTTTTAGTAGAGGGTGATTTTAAAGGTAGTTTTAAAAATAAAGTTACCGATTTTACTATCCATAAATGCACACAAACGCAAACGTATAGAAACATGAACGTAAGTATTGTATATCGCACAATTGAGCGTTCTCTGCATTTTATTCCTGAAATATATTAAGACAATTAAATGTTTTGTTTCGTTATATAATTTATTAGGTATTATATACACGAATTTTCATGTGCATGTATACCTGGCATAAGGATCAATACATTCGCGCATTCAATTCAGCGTTCGACGTCTGTGCTAATGGTAAACACAGTTGCTCTCCATATGCTGACTGCAAGCATCAAGCGACTTATGGAACGTACACCTGTCACTGCAGAGAGGGGTTTGAAGATGACAGTGTTGAACAAAAGGGACGTATTTGTACAGGTATGTGGTCATTTTCTTTGATATCTCATTATTGTATCGTATTATTTTACCCCAGATGGTATTCATCTGCACGTTTGTATTGCTTTATGTTTCAAGTATTTTCACTAAAATGCTTAAGTTTCCTGAAGCACGGTGGCGCACTGACTCACGGAAATGAGCTTTTTTACGTAAAGTGTAACTAAAACGTTGAGATTTATACATGATTCTGGTCAATATAGAAGCTTATGTTTTATTCGTATTTCTGTTTAGGATTATGCCCAGTCTGTATGAACGGAGGAATTTGTCAGAGAGTCGTAGGGAACCTATCGTCTCGCAGGTGAGACACAAAACGACACGTACGTCAATGAATAATTGGTATATCTGACACAAAAACAAAGCACCGCTTTGTCTTTAGTTTTAATTTGGAGAAGGGGGATATTACTGTTCCATAATGCGCACGCCCTGTTTAGTTGCATGGCAGATCTAGGACTATTTTAATGCAAAGCCCCCCCCCCCCCCCCCGGTTGGCGTGGGGTTCGAAAATGTTTGGTATTTTAGAAGGCGAACGGTATCTTAGAAGGTTAGTACTGTAAATCAGCTAGTCATAATTCTTATTCCAAGAGGGGAATATTAATGTGATTTTTTTCAGATCAGAACGGGGGTCAGGTTTTACAAAAATAAGATTTTGGCTGAGTTGCCATTTTTAATTTTTTGTTAAGTGTAAATTAAACTACTGGTATAATTATTGCTTTGTCTGTTTTAACTAAATGCATTTTAAAGTCTATGTAAAGAGGCTAGTATATCGCTGTTCATCAGACATGGTTAAATTTTCTGCAGAAACATAAATCAAGGATTTATTGGCATACCGTTCTATAGTTAGAAAAGAAACAGAATATTTTCTAATCTGATTTATTTGGATTTCTCCCACAGGTGCATAGATGATTTCACAGGCCCAAACTGCAATGGACCACAAGGTAAGGACGTGGGTGATATCACTTCTTCTTGCGATTTTAAAAAGAATTACACAAATGGTGGATTATGGGTTGATTGACAGTATTTCAAACTTACTCAATATCACAGCTATTCAAAAACCACCCTCGGGATATATATATATATATATATATATATATATATATATATATATATATATATATAATCCTTGTACTCTCTATATAAATTATCGTTCAGGCACTCAATGAGCAGATGTTTTACCTTACCTTTATTTTGAAGATGTTTGTTTCAGGCTTATTTGTATTATGTCTCTGATTTTCAAGCTCTGAAAGGATGGCGTCTTGCTTCAATTTCGGTCGGCGGTTCGGTGGGGGCTGTTCTTGTTGTAATCGTTGCGGTATTCGCCGGTCTCACTTACAAAACTAGACGTAGTCTTCACAAGTATAAGGAGACCCTGCTTCACTCTAAGTCAGAGACAAACCTAGAGACCCCCGACGAGTCCCCGTCCAGTAGCCATGGGATGGTGAGGGAAACGCTTCCTAGCACACACGGAGAACAAATCTATCATGGTAGAGCAGGCGAACATGAAGACCCGGAGGCACGGATGGCGGTGATACAGAGAGCCGTTGATGCAGCACCAGATATCGTAAGAGAGAGAAGAAAGAATGGCTGTTTCCCTTTTATTTTTATAACCAAGAAACATTTATTTTAAATTAATGAACATGTGCTATCTTTCAGCTATAATGTACGTGTTTTATTCTTATTATCGGAAGTGTTAATGTGGGGAAGTAATCCATGTCCCCTATAAAAAGCACACTCCATGCACATAGAATACCCTTAAAATGTTACATATATCTAAATGAAGCTGATATACGAAAGTCTAATTTATAGAACTGGGCCTTTGCCAAAAGGATCAAGCGAACATCAAAGCGCGATGCTGGGGAGGAACAGTACGAAAGGCTACAATCCCAGCGCACAAGTCATTATTACGAGGTGCATACAATTTACCTTCATTGTTCTCTTCATTTGATTATGTTATTATTATTATTTCATTTACATATTGATATTTTCATTATATATATATATATATACGCGTTAAATGTTTTCAGATGGGTGAACAACGCCAAGACACCAGATTCGATAATAGAGGCAGGGCTCCCCAAAATGTGTTTTTCCACACTGAAAACCCTGTATACTCCAGTTATAGAGGAGATGGGCAATAATGAGAAAGAATGAGGATAAGGAATATAGTTGATGATATGATTGGATAATATAATATATGTATCTTCTTCATCACAAGTGGGATGACATCCAATATGTGAGATCCAATTGACAAACACACGATGCAGATTGACTGACAGTTGGCAGGTTAAGGCTTTTATTTATGTCCAAATCAAATGATACTGTTACGATTTTATTTTAAGTAATTGGCAATGTTAAAACGGTTATTCGAAATGATTTACAAAATTACAAACTGTGGCACGACCAAAATAGTACAGTGATCAATCAATGTACGTCTTTGAAAAAGGTCTATACATGATACCAACATTTTGTTATTATAGCCAACCATTGAAGAACATACCATTATTGCTGGATATGTATATACCAAACATAAATGCGGAAAGTTTACCAAGTAACGCTGAAAAACGGCGAAATGAGATGAGATTTTGGGATGCAATTATAACTTAGGGGTACTATGGTTTTAAGTTTTCTAGTCTAGTCAGGTGTTTACGAAGTTCACTCTTTATCTCTCTATTTCACACATGCACCACTAAAAATATTTGATTTTTCTTCTCCTTAAAGCTAATCACATTCTGTGTACATGTAGCACGGAATTCTAAAATAATGTTAAGATGTCACACAACTAGGACCACTTCATAACAGCCTCAATCCATGTTATATCAACTGCAGCATCTTTTAGACTAGTTTTGGATTTTAAATTTGGAATTATTGCTTCTGTATTTCGGTGCCAACGAACAACACATCGCAGCTGGACTGCAGATAAAAGTGAATATTGTGCTATAGTTTTATACCGGTGGGCGAAAAGGAATCACGATTAACATCCACAGTTCGATTGAGATTGTGCTATTCATTTTGTTGATGTGATACTGTATGTTTAGTAAGTTCTAGGTCTTTTCATTTTAATAAAATAAATGAAATGTAAATGCACCAAGTGTTGTTTGAACAAAAGTTCATTAAACGCGTTCTTTTAAAAGGATGTAGCTGTGAATACATGACGGTGATCTCACAAAGCAAAAAAATTGACGGTTTCAAGGAAATAAAGAGAATGATTTTAGAGTGAAAATAAGCAAGTCCTTACCTCATTCCAGCTACTGTTCCCCAGTAATAAAACATGGCGATAATTCATATTTAACATGACCTGCGTGACAATTTAAACTGACCAAGTATTCGGCTGTAGATAAATACATGTTGCTTAGATCAAAGGCCCAAGTGTGACTGGAGGGGGGATATAACATCAGGAGTCTGAAGTTTCCCAGACCTTTATTTCTCTCTTATGGTCACATGCAGAACAGATGTTCCTCGATCTACTGGTCCGCGAATCAAGTATAGTCGATTCAACATGAAAGCAAGATCGCCTAATCCTTTAATCCTTTGGTCTCCCCGCCTCTCGTACGTCTCCCACGCGTCGTCCCTCGACCGGTCGAATTGAGCCGCGATTTAATTACTGTGCCCCTGCAGGGACGACGCGTGGGGAGGCATGTAAGAGACGACACTATTAAATGAGTGAGCGGTCTTCCTTTCATGTAGGGTCCGCCATATTTGATCCTTGGATCAGCTGATACTCGGATCTTTTATTCTGAATGGCCCCAACGGCCCCTATGTGGGAGGCAAATAACGACGTTGGTCCACTGGTATAACCGACATAGAAGAACCAGGCCAGACAAGCTCTTATAGTTGCGGGTCTCTGGACTTAACCGATGGTTTGAGATACTGGTTGTTAGCTCTCTAAACTGATTGAAAAATGTTACAATATAGTTTCAGCATGCATTTGTGTTGCTTGAGACTGGGACTGAAGACACATGTTTATGTCTGTGAAGACCTCCCCCGGCTCTCTCTCTCTCTCTCTCTCTCTCTCTCTCTCTCTCACACACACACACACGCACACATAACCCGACTGTAATCTTAAATTACGCATGGCAACACAGAAGAAAAATACAAATCTGTTAACTCTTTCACCTTCAAATAGATGGACAATTTTATCACACAGAGAAATAAAAGGATGATTGACCCCAAAACGATGGTGTCTGTTGGAAGGATCTTGAATCATAATGGGCGATGTATCACTTTATGTAACGTGGAAATTATGTACTCCTGTTACACCCGTTTTTCTCCATTTTATTGCCATAGCAGACCGTTTAACACCGTTGTGGTGTAACGATAAACCTACATCATATTAGCCATATCATAATACACCAATCGGCGAGGCAGCAATGGCGAGAATGATTTTTTCCAAGCGTCTAATTCAAGGCATGTTTTCTAGAAGTTTCACACATAAAGCGGTTTCTCTGAAAATGGTAAGTGCACATCTTATAATAAATGATACGCTTTTGAAATGAGACAGTGAGAATTACTGAGCACATGTTACTTCAGGAAAAATGACTTGGGTCAGGCCACTAGGGCCCAATCCCAATGAGACCATCATTCTACGTAGATCGATCCAATTGCAAAAGGGACTCTCGCTAAATGCAATTATATTAACATATTAAAACGCCTCATTTTGTTTCCAACGCACTTGTACAAACACCAGCTCTTCAGTATTCTACTTACGCCAATCTGATTGTATTCGGCGAGACTCCCCGCGGAGGCAGATCGATCTACGTAGAACAATCTTTTCAATGGGAATGAGCCCCTAGAATCACACGCCTTACGCAAAAGCAACGTTCTTCGTTGTTCCATTGTTCTGATATTATTTTCCATGTCGGAAAATCTGTCGCACATAGTTACTCGGGACTGCAACTAATGTCTATAAAAATTATCTTGTCGCCTTGTTCCTTACATATACACTAGTTTAATTTAAATAAAACATATTAAAACATTAATGGATAAATTAAGAATACCTCCACAATGTGGGACTGTTATTTCAGACTCCCCACGACTACCCACCTATAACAGGATCAGAGCATTGGAAAAGAAAACTCCGCACTTTATTCAGAGCTAGAGACGCGGACAAGGATGGGTTTCTCACGAAGAAGGATTTCGAGATGTGTGCACACCGGGTTTCTAGTTACATGGAGCTTAACGGTAAAAAAATCATCCAAAGATTACATTGTTTGTTAGCTGGTGAAAATATTTCCGATACACGAAGAAGTGATTGGCGTTTAATAGTGCATTGATTGCAAACATGACATGATCAATGTGTACGATATATACATATGAAAATATATCGAGTAGTAATGATCAAAGTTAACTAACCCATCCAAATATAGGAAACTGCACTAATGCTGTATTCCATTTGGTTATGGATTCAATTGTCTTTTCAGAAAGCATGGCAAGAGAGGTCTTGAGAAAGCGGCAATACACCTGGGAAAAACTGTCCTGTGGAACTAGTGACCCTGACAATCTAAAACTTTCCGAAGACGAGTTTCTCCATCAGTTACACCGCTACACACGCGACGCCGCTCTGGGTCTTGCGTGTAACGACTTTGATTCCATTGATATCGACGGCGACGGTTTTATTTCCCCAAAGGAACACAAGGCGTTTTTCTATGGTAATGGGATTCCAACTGATAAGTCGGGGATGTCTTCAAAGTGCTTGATACAGACGGCGATGGCATGATAAGCAGAGATGAGTTCGTGCAGGGTCATGTTGACTTCTTTTACAGCGAAGACGAAAACAGCCCCTATGCCTGTTTCATGGGACCTCTTGTGGACTAAATTTGACCATCAACTGGTCTTAGATGTTTCTGGAATCAATTTTCACGGTGATTATTAATGCTTTGCTCTACGCCATTTGATAATACAGACGTACATATATGATAAACATGTGACTCGTGTTAGCCTCGAGGCTGTCTATGAAAAGGCCTTTTTAACATAAACAATGCTACTGCTATTATAATGAATCTACATGTTATTCTAATCTGAAGACCCGAAAATGGTATTGCAACGTTTCTGAAGCTTGCTAAGCCTTTACTGCAAGAGAAAAGTAGGCTCGGGGTTAATGGAGCTTTTTAGCAGGAGAGGGGCATCGAATACAAATATATTTTCTCTTGTTGTTGTTAAATAACTCTCCTCATCAATAAGGCGAATCGACGACCTCACCGTGAGGGGTCACTATATAATGTTTGGACCGTATGGGCTGTGACTGAGTGTGCTGTGAGTGTGCAGTAGCAGATTCTTTGTTTGAAAGGAACCATCATCATATAAACAATATGATATCTATCAAATTACTGGCATGAACTTGTTGCATTTCCATTATGATGTTAAGGTAGAAGTGATAGGGAAAAGTTTTTTTGACTGTTGGTGCATATTGGCAAAATATTCAGTATTTTGTGGTTATAGAAATTATTTCAATGTTACTTGAATGTTTACTGAAGGAAGCCCTCTTGTTTGAACCATTAGTCAACTTAAATGCCACACACACACACACACACACACACACACACACAGCCTCCGAAAGACGAATAAAGAACACTGTGTAACGCATGGTCACGTTTCCCCTATTATCCTACAAAAACCTATTAACCTGTTTCAAGTTACCTGTTTCAAGTTCCATCAAGTCTGATATGCGACGTCACCAACACGAAACTCGACCCTGGACTAATGGCGCCTAATTGTGTCTGTCAGCGAGGATATGACAAAGTGTCAGTCAAGCGCTTTCATCGCAGTGAAGAAAGGTGGTAATTGGCTGCCTTTAGACTTGGAACAAGTTCGTTCTCATAGACAGGATTACATTATAATCCCGTACCTATAATGTTTTCTATGTTGGCAGGATGGCGTGATGTCGAATAGTATTTGTAATGGTTCGTATGTTATATAGATACGAGAGCATCCAGGCTTTCATTGAATGTCACCACCAGATTATTTAACATTTTACGAAATCGGTCCTCGTACATGTAATGCTTAATGAGATGACTCACGGTGAGAAAACCTGTTATAAACTCAGTAAAATGAGTTTTAGTTTAAAGCTTACGTTCCAGTTGCAAAAATACCACGGTCGACAAGACACCTATGTCTGGAAAATATTTTACACAACGTCTCCTGCAAGGCATGTTTTCTCGTGGTATTACACAGCAGGCTATTTCCTTGAAAAGGGTAAGTACACACGCTAAAATCACTTCTCAATAAATGGATTTACACAATTTAATATTTTTATCGAGCAAGAAAGTTGAATGGAGCAAAATGACTCACTTTATTTACAGTCCTTTCTGCATATCGTTTCTATATATCATACGCATTGCATTTAGTTGGACTTTTTCAAATGAAATGAGTACAATAGTAAATAAAATTTTATTTTGAAGGAAATTGGATTTACATCCCACCCAATATACACCTCAAATAAAATGTTTCTTTTTGTAAAAAATATACACTGTACAGTTTATAACGATGTAGGTTCGCGGTGATAGATCAAAAACCTGGTACCTTTAGTGGGTGATTTGAGAGAAAGTAGTCGTATCTTTAATTTGGCAGTGTACGTTCAGAATAATATTGAATGTAATATTGGCTGCATGAACATGGTCATTCGTTATGAAGTTTTCTTATTCGAGCATTCGGCTCTTGTAGAGATAAATTGCTAAACTTTCTCCCTAATTATGCAACTTGATGTTTTCTATCAACTTATGGAAACGTTATATATTGTTAAAACATGTATAACGAGTCCCACGATGAAGTATCATTTTTTAAAAAACGCACTTTTGGAAAATATTCCCATGAATATTGATTAACGCCAAATATAAAATTCAAGAAACTTTGAACATGCGCTGCGCATATTTCAGACTCCTCACGACTACCCACCTGTGACAGGGACGGAACACTGGAAGAGAAAAATCCGCACTTTATTCAGATCTCTCGATGTGAACGGCGACGGGTATATAACGAGGAAGGCGTATGAGATGAGTGCCCAGCGTGTCAGCAGTTACATGAACCTCGACGGTAATTAACTCAGACTAAGGGTGCATTCCCAGAGATTTAGATCGATCCAAATCCAAAGATTTAGATTTAGATCGACCTAACTCCCTGGGGGTTCACGCTAAATTGCAGTCAGCCGAGCGCGCACCATAGTTAATTAACCCCTTACAGCTTTTAGTAGGCGGGACAGACGATTTAGCCGGCTAAGCTGACAGTAATCTAGTGAGACTCCCCGCAGGGATAGATCGATCTAAAATCTATGGAAATGGGGTCTAACATGTCTTGACCCTGATATATTGTCAGTTATATCCTATAGCCCCATTCAGAATGAGAAGATCCGAATGCTTACTGGTCCACGGCTTACATATTTCGGACCTTCATGAAAGAAAGACCGCTTAATCTTTTAAAGGTCTCTCCGTCTCTCACACGCCTCCCCACGCGTCCTCCCTGCAAGGGTACAGTAATTAAATTTCGTCTCCATTCGACCAGACGCATGGTAAGGCGTGTGAGAGGCGGAGAGACCATTACAGGATTAGGCGGTCTTCCTTTCATGAAGCGTATATTTGGGCCTTGGACCATTTGATGCTCGGATCTTCTATTCTAAATGGCCCCACATATAAGGAGAACAAAGGTTGCATTCAAATCGAGAAGAGCCGAGGTCTAGCAAGGTCGAAATATGGAGGGCCTACATGAAATGAAAACCGCGTAATCCTTTAATGGTCTCTCAATGACATGAAAGGAAGGATTACGCGGTTTTCCTTTCATGTAGGTCTCAGCCTTGCTAGACCTCGGCTCTTCTCGATGTGAATGCTCTCGAAATGTTATGTTGTTGCTGTACCAAAACAACAAATTAGATTTGTCTAAGTATAGTCAATTTGAAAAGTTTTATAGTTCAATTTAACTCCAATGAAGGTTTTTTATACGTGTATGTGGCGACATTAATTTGCGTTTAGGACATGAAAACATTATTTGTTTAAATCGAGAGCACACTGACTATTATTCTGTACTTTGGGGATTTGTTGTTTCAGAAAACAAGGCAAAAGAGGTAATGGAACACCGTGTAAAAATCTGGGAGGCATATGACAGAGGAACGCATTCGGATGACCACCAGGTGTCCGAAGACGAGTATCTGTCCGAACTGCTGGCTGTCATCAATACCACCTTCCGTGAGGCGTTCCTAGCTTTGGCCACTTATGAATTCGACGCTTATGATATGGACGGCGACGGGTTCATCTCCCCAAAGGAGCATGAAGTGTTTTTCTACAGTTGGGGAATTCCCACGGAGCACTCGGCAGGTGCATTTAAGGCAGTTGATATCAACGGAGATGGCTTGATCAGCAGAGAGGAGTTCATTCAAGCGGGGGTTGATTTTTTGTTTGGCGAAGATGAAAACAGCCCCTACAATATTTTCTTAGGGCCACTTGCAAACGTCCCTCTTCCTCAATAATTACTTTATTTTTTCATATTGGGAATGAGGGATTTGGTTAAATAAACACTTCTTAAACTTCTTAATAGACACCGAGGCATGTTTGAACCGATGGAAGTTGCATGCTGCCAGGCTTGTGAATGATATACCTTATCGCCATTTTTACTCAAATCTAATAATAATGAGCATTATTTTATAAAGTTGAAATAGCAGTGGCTATTGTTGCTACCACCATTCATGGGCATGATAATTGTACTTATATATATACGTATTTGGTAATTAGGTAAAGATACACACATCTTACAAAAAGATACACACATCTTACAAAATTTTAATTACACTTGTTTTATATTTATTTCACATGTTAATTAATGTCAAACTCTTTCAAGGGGATATGTGGCCTTCTATTTTCATCTATTGTCATCTCTTTTCTCTTATATGGTGATTTTCATATTTTATTAAAAATTATCACATAATCACCACACAGGCATAACAGTGATCTTCATTACTTTTATGGACAACTTTTCATGTTAGCCTTGCGTTTGGTTTTATCTGTTTTAGCATCACATGGTTTCGGTGATTCTTTGAGCATGCTTTCTGGTATTTGTCTCTTATGTCCAATTGTTTGGTCATGCAACATACATTGTACATTTATTAACAATTTTATTTTAATAGAATCTGTTTTCAAAAGAACTTATATTGAAAAAACGACTTGTTTTTGTTTCATTTGCATGTCTTATGATAAAATATTTTGTGCCTGCAATCATATAACTGTAGAAGAAAGAAAAGTTGATATTTGTAACAAAATCAGTAAGCGTTATTTGGTTTGACAATCATCTGTGTATGTGGCCTACTCAAAACCCAAAATGTGCAAAAAAAATAAAATAGCAAAGATTTGACGTGGATTCGATTTTGAGAAGAAAAAAAAGGCGCGACACTTTTCAAAAACTATATGTTTATTTCTCAACTGATTTGTGTAAGGAAGGCCTTAATTATGAGAAAATTCACTAAGTTAAGGAAAAATTGATGTCATACCTTTAGCTAAGTCTTAATTCGTTACATGTGCATCTCCAGAGCTCCATTCAAACACTGTTATCCTAGCCGACACCAAGGGAAGACGCAGACGCAAGACGTACTTAGATAACAAAACTTCGACAGAAAACAACCACCAGCAACTGGGCAGAAACATCACATGATCAAAAGGCTTGGTGATCCGTTTGGGCCACCTGATCGATCGAACATATATGCCTTTGATTTAAACAAATAATAAATACTGGATGCTGCTGCTGTAGTAATGTTTTTGTCCTAGGGAATACTATAATACATTGACCAAATCACCAGAGAGTGACACAGCAAACCACAAGAAGACATTAATTTTAATACACTGCATCAGATGTGCTTGTAGCAATGTGAGGGTATATTTAACTTTCAGGTACTATCAACAATCTGCCTTCATACACAGACATTTTATCACACAGAGATACATTATACCTGTTGACAGGTAAGCTGAAAGTGAGCATTGTATTTATAGGACCTGGACATTTTATACCCATATCACATCAAGCTTTCTTTTATTGTTATAAAATAATGTCAAAAAACTAGTTTGGCGTACATTTGAGTTGTGAGGCTGCAGAAGACGGTAGCTAAACACCAATGGCGGGAACCATGTTTTCCAAACGTCTTATTCTAGGCGTGTTTTCTCGAGGCTTTTCACAGAAGGCAATTTCTCTGAAAATGGTGAGTGCACATTCTAAAGCCCATACTTAATGATAAATACATAGATATATTTTGGGTAAAACGGAAAAAATAGATAATACACGCTTTGTTTTCACAGCTCCATGGGATCCACTTGGATATAAATGTTTAAAAGATGAACAATACAACACTATGATTTTTTTTTTTACAATATTTGAATTTTAAAGTAAATGAAATTTACATCACAGAATTGCCAAGAAAAAAACCAAGTAAATGCTCGTTTTCGAATTTAAGACAAAAGCACTGCACTTAACCTTACACGAGAGATTGTTTATACTCGATTATCCTCATATAAAAACCACCGATTTGTAGAAAAAAGTGCATTATAAAATACACGCCCCACTTTGCAAAAATGGAGCCCCAGATCTACTCGTAGGTCACGTGGTACTGTGACGCAATTTGCCATCGTCAGCTGGGCTACACACTGAAAAAATCAAGATACAGGTATGCTTAACGAAATTTGGCGATTAAGACCCCACCGTCGTTTCGCGATATGCCTCCGCGTGTTGCTGTGTGGGATGGACTAATAAGGGGTTGGGGCAAGGGATCTGGGACCCATATATGTGTTCTTTCCATATGATCCAGACTTGAAAAAAGGTGGACAGCAGAAAAGTTTCACATAAACCAAACACTCGAGTCTTCGCTCTGATCACTTTTTAAAGGGACACGTAAGATCGAAAACCTTAGATTTTACGGATGTTGAGCACTGAAATGTGAAGCCTGGACTATAACTTGGTGCTATATCTGTAGTGCCGTATTTTTTTCATAAGAAAGTAGTCATAACTTCTGTTTAATGTTGATGATCTTTGCCTGCATGGTAGCATGACACATGCCAACCAATCAACGCTTTAAAAACGCTTTAAAGGGAATCACGTTCTGAAATATATCTTTTGCTAACGGCTGTACAATTATAACCAAGACAATTTGCAAAGTAATAACTTAAAATGGCAAAGCTTTTCATTTTCAAACATGTATCAATAGAATAACAAATGAAGACATCCATCCTCTTCTTTAAACTTAAAAAACTTTTAAAAAATAATAAAACTATTTCTTTAATTTTTAAAAATATTTGCATTATATATGTACCTTGGTATTATGATTAAAATAGTTTCTTTTTATGAATTAACCATACTATTCTCGATTTTTGAAATGGAAACCACTTGTAAGGTGCATATTCTTAGTCGGCCTTAGAGGATGTCTCAAAATGGAGCTTAGTTACTGACTGATCAGATTGACGGTTCTCAACTTTGACTCTCATAACTGAGACACAATTTGAAATTATTACTTTCGATATTTATTTACCTAATTGTCGTAAAACTGAATCACACATAATGTTAACAACTTATTTAAATATAATATATGGTACATGTATGACTAAATCTGCGACACTAATTTCAGACGCCTCATGACTACCCAATTGTAAAAGGATCGGAATACTGGAGGAGAAAATTGCGCACTTTCTTTAAGGCGATGGATGCAACCAGAGACGGATATATAACAAAGGAAGATTATGAATTCAGTGCATATCGTCTGGCAAGTTATATGGGCCTCGATGGTAACTTAATCTTGAAATGTTTTGATGAATAGCGTTATTTCAGTATGAAGAAAGCTAACGGCAATCAATATAAACGGTACATTTAATGTATATTTGACAAAATTAATACTTACCAATAACATATTATGATATTGGAAGACGCCATGGTTGATTGAACTGTATAGTCTCGGGTCTGTAGACGCAATTTCCAAAGGGGGGGGGGTTCTTTTTTTGAAAAAGTGGACCTTTTCCCATAAAAACGTCATGTCCCTATATCAAATTTTACCCAGAGTTGACCTTTTCCCAGCAAAAGGGGCGGTTCTTTCGAACCCCCCGAACCCCCCTGGCTACTGGCCTGAGTCTGGACTGTGTTTACACGTATTTCTTTCAGAAACAAAGGCAAAGGAGGTGCTGAAACTTCGCATAGAAGTGTGGGAAGCATTTAGCAAAGATCCAAAGAATTCTGAAGTGTACAAGATATCCGAAGACGAGTTCATATCCAACTACCTTGATGTCATCAATACCAGTTTCCGTGACGCGCTTGTAGATTTTGCCAGTCGTGAATTCGATGTTTATGATCTTGACGAAGACGGTTTCATATCATCAAAGGAGCACAAAGCGTTTTTCTACAGTTGGAGAATTCCGACGGATTACTCGGCAGACACATTTAAGGCACTGGATACCGATGGCGATGGCTTGATAAGCAGAGATGAATACATCCAAGGCGCGGCTGATTTCATGTTTAGCGAAGATGAAAACAGCCCTTACAAAAATTTCCTGGGACCACTGTTAGAATAGGAAAATCACGAAACTTAGAATCAGAGGTTTAAAACACCCCTGGTATAGTAAACTTGAGGGCAAATGCAAGCTAAAAAAATGCAAGCGAAAACTATTCTCTGAAATGAATTAACATGATTGACCATGCATCTAATGTACAGGAGCACATGGGATGGTGAATATAACACAACAAAAACAAAGTTTGTGCTTTAAAAGTGTTTACTTTTTATTGCACGAATATTAATATATATATATACTTAAAAAAAACTGGGAAAACTATTTTTTAAAAGATTCACATATAACAACGCATTTAATTTACCATAATGGAGATATTACTCTTGCCATCGTCGTAAAAATGTAATTGCTGACCTGAAGCTGACATGTTTTGTATTTTTTAATTTGTACTTTATTTGTGACATTACTACATGTTTTGCACTCATTACAGACATCTCACGATAACCCGATTTTTAAGGGCTCGGAATACTGGATGGAGAAATTCTTTCGGACAAATTTAGGCGCGTTGCCAGCTATGTGAACTTAAGTGGTAAGGTTTGGCATGCATTGATGATTGAATTGCGTATTTGCACTATCAAAATAACTTATGGCAGTTAATACAAACGATTATGATCTTGACGGCGACGGTTTATCTCCCCAAAGGATCATGGAGTGATCATGAAAACAATTTGTTATTTTGTCCCAACTGATTCGTGTAAGAAAGGTCTTGATTATGAGAAGCTAAGAAAATCAAAGCCCATAAATCAAAACATATATCGGTACAGCTCCATTCAAAAACTGTTGTTCAAGCATACACCAAGGGAAGACGAAGACACAAACTCCCATGACGTATGTGGATAAAAAACACAAAAAATTGGACAGGAACAACAACCAGCAACTGTGCAGAGACATCACGTGACCGAAGGGCTTGAGGTTCCGTTTGGGTCGAGCGTGATTTTCGTTTAATCAAATTATAAATTCTGGAAGCTGTTGCTAAAGCTATGATTTTTATGCTCATTTCGTCATCTCCATCGTTTGGGCCAAGCACGGCGCCTGATCGATCAACCATTTATGCCTTTTGTTTAGACAAATGGTATATTCTGGAAGCTGTTGCGATAGGAATGTTTTTTTTTTGTTCTAAGGGATACTATAATATAGTAAGTCACCAGAGAGTGACACAGCAAACTACATGAAGACATTTATTTTAGTACACTGCATCAGATGTGCCTGTAGCAATGTGAGGTCATATTAAACTTTCAGGTACTATCAACAATCTGCCTTGCTACACAGACATTCCGTCACGTACAGATACATTATGCCTGTTGACAGATAAGGTGAAAAGGATGTTGTATTTATATAACCTGGATATTATATACCCACATCACATCAAGGTTTACCTTTAGTTGTCATAAAATTATGTCAAAAAACCATTGTGGTTTAGTTTGGCGTACATTCGAGTTGTGAGGCTACAGCAGACGACAGCTAGACACCAATGGCGGGAATCACTTTTTCCAAACGTTTTATTCTAAGCGTGTTTTCTCGAGGTTTTACAAAGAAGGCAATTTCACCGAAAATGGTGAGTGCACATTCTAAGGCCTTTACTAAATGAACATATGTATAAACATATATTTTGGGTAAAAGGAAAAATGTAGAGAATTGACTCTTTGATTTCAAAGTGCCATTGGGTCAACTTAGGTATAATTGCATGTGTAAAAGATGTGGACTGCGCTGCACTTATTGAACAAATAGAGCGATGTGATTTTTTACAATGTTTGAATTCTTAAAGTTAATGGAATTTACATCATGTACATGTAAATGATAAAAATGCAAGTGTGATGGGTGCTTTGGATTCAATTTATCTATATTATGCAGTCTGGCGGGAATGGTAGTCTGCTAGGAACCATAGTCCGCAGGGGCGGATCCAGGATTATATGAAGGGGGTCCGGGGATGCGAGATAGACCCCCGGTTGGCGTGGGGTTCGGGACCTGCTGGTATTTTAGAGGGCGGACGGTGTAATTTGATATTGTTTAGAACTATAATTCAGCTAGTCAATATTCTAAATTCAAAAGGGGACGTTTTTCTTCAGAAATCGAAGGGGGGGGGGGGTCAGGACCACCCTGACCACTCATCTAAATCCGCCACCGGTTCGCTCCCTATTACTTTGTACTGGTTACATATTCGATCTATTATACTAACCCCAACACTCCGACTAACTCTGGTATGCAGAAATCATATGGGATTTCCATTCCTAGGACTACCATTTCTGTCACAGCAGCATAGCCCATTAGCGACAAGCATAACATCTGCTTAAAATTGATGATCTTTGTCTGCGTGGTAGCACGGCTCATATCAACCAACGAATTAAAAATGTTCTCAAGGAAAAATCACGTTATGAAATGTATCTTTTGGATAACCGGATGCCCAAACAAGACCATTTGAAAAGTAATCTCTTAAAATCGTAATTTTTTAATTCTTTGTATCAATAATAGAATAAATAAAGACATCCAATCTCTTCTTGTAAAAAAATCATTTTTTATAAATATTTGCATAATACGTGTACCTTGGCATTATGCTAAAATAGTTTCTTTTTATGAATTAACAAACTATTCACGATTTTTGTAATGGAAACCACTTGTAAGGTACCTATACTTAGTCGGACACAGCAGCTACGTTAAGCCCCCTTTACAATAGACGGCGTCCTTTCTGCGTCCAGCAGTACGGCCCCATTTGAGAGTTAAAAAATTATAATACTTTACGTGCCGACAGCTGGCCGATCATTGAGCATTCATTCTGATACAAAATCAATACTCGTTCCTCCTTATTAAGACCACAGCGATGCCAAATTTCATGGTCGCAGAAAGGACGCCTTCCAGTGTAAAGGGGGTATTACTGACTGATCAGACTGTCGTTTCTCATCTTGGAATCTCACAACTGAAACATAATTTGAAATTATTTCTGTCAATCTTTATTTACTTTGTGGTCCTAAAACTAAATCACACACAAGGGTAATAATTTATCTTAATCTAATTAATGCAATGACTACATCTGTGACACTTATTTCAGACGCTTCATGACTACCCAAATGTTGAGGGATCGGAATACTGGAGGAGAAAAATGCGCACTTTCTTTAAGGCGATGGATTCAACCAGAGACGGATATATAACAAAGGAAGAATATAAAATGAGTGCCCATCGCCTTGCAAGTTATTTGAACCTCGATGGTAACTTATGAACAGTATGAAGATCGCTAACGGCATAAAAAGTGTTTATTTAATGGAATTATTCGCAAAACAAATCCCCATCAATAACATAATATTATCGTGAAAGAGTCCATGGTTTAATTTTTTTTCAGAAAACAAAGCAAAAAAGGTGATGAAACATCGCGTAGATGTGTGGGAAGCGATAGGCAAAGAAGCAAAGAATAATGAAGCGTACAAGGCATCCGAAGACGAGTTCATATCTGACCTGCTTGCTGTCATTAACACCACCTACCGTGCCTCGTTTCCAGATTTGATCAATCGTGACTTCGACGGTTATGATATTGACGGAGACGGTTTCATCTCCCCAAAGGAACACGAAGCGTTTTTCTATAGTTGGGGAATTCCGACGAATTACTCGGCAGAGGCATTTAAGGCGCTGGATACCGATGGCGATGGCTTGATAACCAGAGATGAATACATCCAAGGAGCGACTGATTTCATGTTTAGCGAAGATGAAAACAGCCCTTACAAAAATTTCCTGGGACCACTGCTAGAATAGGAAAATCATTAGTCCAAACAAGCCTGGCATAGTAAACTTGAGGATAAATGCAAGCTAAGAACTGAACCAATTAAAAAAATGTATCCGTGAACGAAAAAATGTTGTAAGTGATGGTGAAAAAAAAAAAAAGGAAAAAAGAAATACACACTGAAATAGGTAATGTATATGTAGATATACAAACACACCTTGTCACCGCATCGTAAAGACAAAATTGAAGATGAAAAACACTTTATGACAGGTTTCCCAGTAAGAAACCACCTGGGAACCAAACCGTAACGTGTATTTACAAAGGCCATGCTAACTTCCACCTAAAATAAACTGATGAAAAATAAGGCGTTAAAATGAAGTGCTAAGAGAACGACTCGTTGCTGGCGTTAGCTCAGAATATTATTATACCGTGTATAGAAGAAAAATGGTAAAGATAGCGCTGCATCTTCTGGCAATTACGTAGCAAAAGCCATTCTGGCTCAGCCAGAAGTACCTCCATTATATAAGTACTGGTAACTGTTTTTATTGGTTTGTATAATTACATATTTCCCATCGTGTATTTTCATACCCCAGTATGCATTCCATACAGTAAACATGTATATACCCACAGCAGATAAAAATAATGCTTACTGTCCTGACGCCGACTTCTTGTGTACTTAACACAGCGAACACGCGTTAAAAACGTAACAATAAAATGTATACCCTTGATGGATGTTCTGATTTTATATTAGATTAGATAAGTGTCAACATATACCATGTTGCAACAGTCATAAGGTCAGCTTAAGTTGGTGATGCATGGCTGCATGGTAAAATGGTTTATGTCATCCACTAAAAGCATTAAAATGTTTTGATGAAAGTCATCTGAAATAAAATTTGTATAGGCTTACATGTACCTGTCTGTCCTCGACATTTTACGCAGAAAGCGTGTATCCAAATAAACGTTGCTCAATCCGTACAGCCCCCGACGAAACTATTAGTATATACATTCATGTATCAAATAACGTGTATAAGATTGTATAGGATTGACCAAATGTATACAGCGGAAAACCATTTTTCCAAATATGGGCCTTTTTTTATAAGAACCGATACGCATTCAGTCGGGGTAGTGGTAATGAGATATTCTTCATAGTCGAAAACTATTCCCAAGCCAACACCAAGGGAAAACGAAGACGCGGGCGCCCATGATGTTCTTGGATAAACAACATCAAAAAGTGGACAGAAACAACGAGCAGAAACTGTACAGAAACATCACGTGACCGACGGGCTTGGCGTTCCGTCGTGGCCATCGTTCGGTCCAAGTTGATCGATCGACCATGTATGCCTGTTGTTTAGACAGTGGTATACTCTGGAAGCTGCTGCGAAAGCATTGGTTTTTTGTCCTAGGGAATACTACAATATACCGACCAAGCCACCAGAGAGTGACACAGCAAACTACCTAAAGACATTTATTTAAATACACTGCATCAGATGTGCTTGTAGCAATGTGAGGTGATATTAAACTTTCAGGTACTATCAACAATCTGCCTTCCTACACAGACATATGCACGTACAGAATACATTATGCCTGTTGACAGATAAGGTGAAAAGGGTGTTGTATTTATATAAACAAGAGATTATATACCCATATCACACCATATCAAGTTTTTTCCTTCATTGTCATGAAATAATGTCGAAAAGAGCACTGTGGTTTAGTTTGACGTACATTTGAGTTGTGAAACTGCAGCAGACGGTAGCTTAACATCAATGGCGGGAATCACTTTTTCCAAGCGTCTTATTCTAGGTGTGTTTCGAGGTTTTACACAGAAGGCCATTTCCCTAAAAATGGTGAGTGCACATACTAAAGCCTTTTCTAAATGAACAAATATATAAATATACTTTGGGTAAAAAGAAAAAAATAGATAATAGACTATGTTTTTACAGCGCCATCGGATCCACTTGATATACATGCTTTAAAGATGCAGACTGCACTGCATTGATTGAACAAATAGTATTATATGAATGTTTTACAATATTTGAAGTAAAAGTAAATGGAATTTACATCACGAAAAACGAAATAAATCTGTCACAGGGTTTTATAAGGAAATAAGCAAGTAAATGCACTTTTTCTAACTTGAGAAAAGCACTGCACTTAACCTTACACGAGAGATAGATTAAAACCGAATATCATCTCATAAAAACAATCGATCAGTAGAAAAAAGTGCATTCTAAAACACCCCTCCCCACTGTGCAAAGAAGAAGCCCCAGATCTATATGTAGGTGACGTTGTGCTGTGACGCAATTTGTCATCATCACAGCTGGGCTACACACTGAAGAAATAGAAAAGGTATGCTGAAATAAATTTGGTGATTAAAGGCCCTACCGTCGTTTAACGATATGCATCCATGTGTTGTACACGATTGACCAAAAATTGATTTAAACATTGTCTATCTGACTTGAAAGAAGATAAACTTTCATGTAGTGAAGCTATCATTAAGTTCTTTCATGAAAATGAATTTTGGTGGTTTGAATATATACATCTACGTTAAAATAAAAAAGAAAAAAATCCAACATTTTTGTGAAATGCAAAAAGAACAAAACTTTCCTTGCGTTAGTTCAGCACCTTATCAATGCCGTAGGTAGGAAAAATCATGGAGGCAGTACTTCTTCTTCTGGCAGTCAGGTAGTAAAAGTCTTTCCGGCTCTGTCAGATATATCTATACTATATAACTACTGGCAGTTTCTTTTACATCATTGTATAATTACATAATACATGTACCTTGATGTTATGGCTAAAATATTTTCTTTTTGTGAATTAACCATACCATTCTCTATTTTTGTAATGGAAACCACTTGCAAGCCGGACATAGCGGATGTCGCAAGTGCAGCTACGTTACTGAATGATCAGATTGTCGTTTCTCATCTTGGAATCTCACAACTGAAACATAATTTGAAATAATTTCTGTCAATCTTTATTTACTATATAGTCCTAAAACTAAACCACACACAAGGTAAATAACTTACCTTAATCTAATTTATGATATGATTGCATATGTGACACTAATTTCAGATGCCTCATGACTACCCGACTGTTAAAGGAACAGAGTGCTGGAGGAGAAAAATTCGCACTTTATTTAAGGCAATGGATGCAACCAGAGACGGATATATAACAAAGGAAGATTTTGCATTGAGTGGCCATCGCCTTGCAATTTATTTGAACCTTGATGGTAACCTAATCTTGAAATGTTTTGACGGAGACGGTAATTTCATTATGAAGATAGCTTACACAGCAGTATATTTAATGGATTTTTTCCTAATTAATATCCACCATAATATAATATTATAATAAAAGAATCCACGGTATTAATTTTTTCAGAAAACAAGGCAAAACATGTGATGAAACATCGCGTAGATTTATGGGAGGCGATAGGCAAAGATGCAAAGAATAATGAAGAGTACAAGGTATCCGAAGACGAGTTCATATCCGACCTGCTTGCTGTCATTAATACCACCTACCGTGATTCGTTTCTGGATATGATCATCCGTGACTTCGACGGTTATGATGTCGACGGAGACGGTTTCATCTCCCCAAAGGAGCACAAAGCGTTCTTCTACAGTTGGGGAATTCCGACGGGCTACTCGGCAGATGTATTTAAGGCACTGGATACCGATGGCGATGGCTTGATAACCAGGGATGAATACATCCAAGGGGGAACTGATTTCATGTTTAGCGAAGATGAAAACAGCCCTTACAAAAATTTCCTGGGACCACTGCTTGAATAGGAAAATCATGAAACTTGGCACTGATGGTCGAGTAAGAAGGGTGAAAGTGTCTTATAAAAATTATAGAGTGGGAGAAAAAGTTCATGAATACAAGGGTGCTAAGAATATTGAGGTAGAGAGATCTGTCAGAAGATTGGGTTTATTAATTCCCATTGAGGATATGTAATTGCTCTTAAATATTGATGCGACATTTTACGCAGAAAGCGGCGCACCTATCCAAATAAACGTTGCTCAATTCGTACAGCCCCCGACGAAACTACTAGTATATACATTCATGTATCAAATAACGTGTATAAGATTGTATAGGATTGACCAAATGTATACAGCGGAAAACCATTTTTCCAAATGTGGGCCTTTTTTTATAAGAACCGATACGCATCCAGTCGGAGTAGTGGTACTGAGATATTCTTCATAGTCGAAAACTATTCCCTGAAATTAATTAACATGATTGACTGTGTATCTGATGTACATGAGTACATGGGGTAGTGAATAAAACAACAAAAACGAAGATTGTGCTTTAAAAGTGTTCAATTTTATTGCACGAATATTAAGATGAGTACTTCAAAAAGAAAAAAAAGTGGAAGACTATCTTTTAAATGACGCACTTAAAACTGCGCCTTTCATTATCCCTAACAGAGGTATTATTCTTGGCTTCGTCGTCAAGAACTGATAAAAATACAACTATGCATAGCCGTTAAATGTACATGTAAATGACTGCTTGCTGACCTGAAGCCGTCCTGTTGTGTATTTATTAACTTGTACTTTATATATGATATTTCTAAATCATTTGCACGCACGAATACTGGTTGAGAAAATTCAGCACTTTCTTTCGGGCAATGGATGTGCCCAGCGCGTTGCAACTTATACGAACTTAGATGATAACTCATTCTTGGCATGCATTGATGATTGAATTGCGTAATTGGACTATCATAATAGCTCTTGCCAGTCAATACAAACAGTTATGATTTTGACGGAGACAGTTTTATATCCTCAAAGTAGCATGAAGTGTTTTTCTACAGTTGGGGAATTCCCACAGAGCACTCGGCAGGTGCATTTAAGGCAGTTGATATCAACAGAGATGGCTCAATAAGCAGAGAGGAGTTCATTCAAGCAGGTGTTGATTTTTTGTTTGGCGAAGATGAAAACAGCCCCTACAATATGTTCTTAGAGCCACTTGCAAACGTTGCTCTTTCTCAATAATAAATTAATTTTTTCATAATGGGAATGAGGGATTTGGTTCAATAAACACTTCTTAAATATTTTAAAGGACACCGAGTCATATGTTTACCGATGGAAATCGCATGTCTCCAGGCTTTAGTATGATATATCCTGTCGCTATGTATACTCAGATATAATGAGCATTATTTTACAAAGTTGTAATGTCAGAGGCTATAGCTGCTTCATCTGTTAATGGTAATGATAACTGTAATTACAATTAGTGAATGGTACATTTTTCAAAAATAACCAACACTACCTATATTCCATATACGCATTTAGAAACTTTTTAAAGATATATGCACCTACATAATTTTAAACACACTTGCCTTAATTTTACAGATTAGATTATTTTTGAAACTTTCCCAAGGGGATATGTGACTTCTATTTTCATCTATTGCCATATTTTTACTCTCCTTCACGTTGAATTTCATATCTCATCATCATGTATTAATCGCGCAACAATAATAGTGATATTCATCATTTTTACGCACAACTTTTTATGTTAACCCTGCCTTTGATTCTATCTGTTCTAGCATGGCATGGTTTCGGTGATTCTTTGAGCATGCTTTCTGGTATTTGACTCTTATGTCCAATTGTTTCATCAAGCAACATGTATTGTACATATAGTAGCAATTTTGTTTTAATGGAATCTGTATTCAAAACGCATATTTTCGGGGGCCATATTAAAAACTGATTTAATCCACATGCAGTGTGCAATATTACCGTATTTTTTGGTTTTATTTGCATGTCTAATGATTAAACATTCTGTGTCTGCAACCATACAACTGTATGATAAGGAAAGTTCATATCTGTAACAAAATCAATAAATATTATTTGGTTTGACAATCATCTGTGCATATGGCCCACTCGAAAAACCGAAATGAGCAGAAAAATAATGTTTCATAAACGTTTTGTTATGTATGGATGACCTAATGTTCTAATCAGTAATCAGTAATGATCTGATTGGTGTTAAAATGCCTGATTATGAGAAAATGGACTAAGTTAAGGAAAATTAACGTCACACCTTCATCTACGATCGTCTCAATTTGTAACATACAGCGGCACAGCTCCATTCAAACAATGTTATCCAAGCCGTCACCAAGGGAAAAGGAAGGTGCGTGCGCCCAAAATGTTCTTGGTTAAACAACATCAAAAACTGGATAGAAACAACGAGCAGAAACTGTGCAGAAACATCACGTGACCGACGGGCTTGGCGTTCCGTCTTGGCCATTGTTCGGGCCAAGCTGATCGATCGACCATGTATGCCTTTTGTTTAGACAAATGGTTAATTTTGGAAGCTGCTGCGATAGCAATGTTTTTTGTCCTAGGAAATACTATAACACACCCACCAAGTCATCAGTGTGACTACATAAAGACATTTATTTTAATACACTGCGTCAGATGTGCTTGTAGCAATGTGAGGTCATATGAAATTTATACACAGACATGCCACCACATCCATATAAATTATGCCTGTTGACTGATAAGGTGAAAACGGGTGTTGCATTTACATGACCTGGATATTACATCACATCAATTTTTACCTTTGTTGTTATGAAATGATATCGAAAAGAGCATTGTGGTTTAGTTTGGCGTATATTTGAGTTGTGCAGCTGCAGCAGACGGTAGCTAAACATCAATGGCGGGAATCACTTTTTCCAAACGTCTTATTCTAGGCGTGTTTTCTCGCGGTTTTACACAGAAGGCGATTTCTCTAAAAATGGTAAGTGAACATACAAAAGTCTTTTTTAATTGTACAAATACATAAATATATTTTGGGTATAAAACTGAAAAAAGTAGAGAATAGACGTTTTTGTTTTTACAGCGTCATCGAACCCACTTGGATGTACATGTTTAAAAGGTGTTGACTGCACTGCATTGATTGAACAAATGGAACGATATGTTTTTTTTGCATTAATTGAAGTTTAAAGTAAATGAAATTTACATCATTTGCATTTGCATTTCCAGGGTTTTAAAAGAAAATAGCAAAGAAATTGCACGTTTTAGAATTTAAGAAAAAAGCACTGCACTTAACCATACACGAGGGATAGATAAAAATCAATTATCATCATATAAAAACAATCGATTACTAGAAAAATGTGCATTCTAAAAAAAAAAAAAAAAAAAAAAAAAAAAAAAAAAAACACCCCACTGTGCAAAAATGCAGCCCCAGATCTACCTGTTGGTCACGTGGTACTCTGAGGCAATTTGTCATCATTAGTCGGGACACACACTGAAGAACTAGGAAAGGTTTCAAAGCGAAATTGGCCAATTGAAGGCCCCAGCGTCGTTTAACGATATGCCTCCGTGTGTTGCCGTGGGCTAGAATAATACTGGGGGGGGGGGGGGATAAGGGAACTGGGATCCTTATATTTTCATTTCAAAGGGATCCAGGTGGGTGTGAAAAAAATGTGGACAGTATAAAAAGAAAAAGGGACCATTTCACATCAACCAAGTACTCGAGACTTGGCTCTGATCACTTTGAAAGGAACACGTACGACCGGTGTGACAAAAATGGTAGTCCTTGGGATGGAAATCCCATATGATTGTTAAAGGCTATAGGGTTAGTCGGAGTATTTGGTTAGTATATGGGTCATATATGTTACCAGTACAAAGAAATAGTGAGCGGACTACTGTTCCTAGCGGACTACCATTACTGTCACACCAGCATAATGCACATATCGGTAACTTGAAACCAAGGCATCTATCACCCGTGTATTTTTTGTCGTATACGTAATTTTTCATAGGTACAGTGTACAGGGTATGTGCTTCTTGTGTTAACTACACTAGAAGTCAGTTTAAAGTGAGCAGTTAGTCATTAACCTGCTACAGGTACAATGTATACACATTTACACTGTAGTGTATACATCTACATAAAATGTGTGGATGGAAAGAGAAAATGGTAATTATATAATGATGTTAAAGAACTAAAATAGATATTTCTAAGCGTGCCCATTAACAACAAGCACAGCATCTTCTTAAGGTTTATGATCTTTGTCTGCATGGTAGAACGACGCATCAACCAAGCAACGCCTTAAGGAAATAACGTTATAAAATGTATCTTTTTGATAACCGGCTGTCCAAACAAGACCATTTGAAAAGTAGTCTCTTAAAATCGTAAAGCTTTAATTTTTTCTACACGTATCCAATAAAAGAATAAATAAAGGCATCCAACCTCTTCTTAAAGCTAATAAAATTTAGGATAAACATTGTCACCGTATTTCTTTTATTTTTTATAAATATTTGCATAATACATATACCTTGGTATTATGGTTAAAATAGCCTTTTTTAAATAAATTAACCATACAGTTCTCGATTTTTGAATCAAAACCACTTGTAAGGTACATATTCTTAGTCGGACATAGCGCCAAATTGATCGAGACACGTTACTGAATGATCAGATTGTCGTTTCTCAAAGCCATCGCCATCGGAATCTCATAACTGGGACACAATTTGAATTTTTTTCTGTCAATCTTTATGCACTTTATGGTCTTTAAACTAAATCACACTCAAGGGTAATAACTTATCTAAATCTGATTTATGAAATGACTATATCTGTGACACTTATTCCAGACGCCTCATGACTACCCAACTGTTAAGGGATCGGAATACTGGAGGAGAAAAATTCGCACTATCTTTAAGGGAATGGATGCAACTAGAGACGGATATTTAACAAAGGAAGATTATGAATTGAGTGGCCATCGCCTTGCAAGTTATATGAACCTCGATGGTAACTTAATCTTGAAATGTTTTGATGAATATAGTTTTTGTATATGAAGGTGACTAACGACAATAAATGTAAACGGCACATTTCATGTATTTTTTTGCAAAATTAATACCCATCAATAATATAAGATTATACTGGAAGACTCCATGGTTGATTGAATCGTAGTCTGAACTGTGTTTACATGTATTTATTTCAGAAAACAAGGCAAAAGAGGTGCTGAAACTTCGCGTAGACGGATGGGAAGCAATTATCAAAGATCCAAAGAATTCTGAAGTGTACAGGATGTCTGAAGACGGGTATATATCTGACCTGCTAGCTGTAATCAATACCAGTTTCCGTGACGCGCTTGTATCTTTGGCCAGTCGTGAATTCGATTTTTATGATCTTGACGGAAACGGTTTCATATCCTCAAAGGAGCACAAAGCGTTATTCTACAGTTTGGGAATTCCAACGGATTACTCGGCAGACGCCTTTAAGGCACTGGATACCGATGGCGATGGCTTCATAAGCAGAGAAGAATACATCCAAGGCGTAGCTGATTTCGTGTTTAGCGAAGATGAAAACAGCCCTTACACACATTTCTTTGGGCCACTGATTGAATAGGAATATAAGCCACACCTCATTAGTAACCATTCAGAATAAGATTTGATAATTGGCTTTTCGGCTCAATGCGCGTTACTGTTAAGACACCGATTAATATTTTGAGCGTAAATTATAAAACAACCTGTGAAATAAGATATTAACATAGGTGTCAAAAAACAACCGATGACTTATATCTGATAATTTTTGTTAATTTCAAATAGATTTCCCATTAGGGCATAGCGAAAACAGTTGTCAGAAATTGTAGGAATGGATGAACTAATGTTAGCTTTGATAAAGACACTGAATACGAAACCTTTTTTTATTTGTGTTTCAATTTTCAAGTTGCATGTCCCAATTTTTGACGCCCTAACGTGCCTGCTGATAGGTCTATATTGTTGTTATACAATCCGCATTATCTTATAAATTAACAGTTTAGTATTACTTCTGGTATATGTAAGCACTGTGTTTGCTAGAAAAACAAAAACTGGAACAGTTTAATACATTTGTTTGAGCTAACATCAATTCTTTTTCCTACAGGTAAATGTATTGCAAATTAAAAACGCTCAAAATTATATTCCTTACGCTTGTCTCTTGCTTGTCTGATATTCATCTCAGATAAAAGTAGATTTAAATTTGACGATTTTTAGCATTAATAGGGAGTTTATGTAACTGCAATGAGATTATAAAATTGAGTGTGCCGGCTTATGGCTACTGAGAAGTAATGCACTTCCTATTTTTTTCAAACTGTGTATTCTCGTAAAAATCCGTTTTGTAAATAACGATAAAAAGATAATTGGTTGGTATGATTTAATAACAAATAAAATAAAGATTTTACCATTTATTTTCATTATATATGTATTCGAAAAGGCGTGACGTATTCAAATAACCCTTTCCTGGCACTATATTCGGAACACACTACAGGTGTACGTAACGTGATGCGCTATTAAAATTCGATTGGGGTAATTTTGTTGCAATCCAGATTCATTTGACTTGAAAGTTACATTCCATAACGATGTTAGTTCATGCAATTATGCATAGAAACATGCGTTGTTTTTTTTTACAGTATTTTTTACAGTATGAGAATCGACTGACCTAAATTATGAAAGATCGGACAAACAACATTTTAAATTTCTTTACTTCGTCAATTTTCTCTAATTAGGGATGGTAGAATGGAGTGCTCTACTCCTTACTGTACGGCCAACAATCGCAAGGAAAAGAGCGCACCTCCCCCTCCCTAAAAAAGGGAGTTAGGATTGGGTAGCACGCCGCGGCTTATCTGCTCTCCACCAGAATCAAATATAAGTAGCTTTCTTCAAATCTCATTTAAATACTTTATGGTTCGCCAGGTGGTTGTTTCGCTACTCATTGTCAACCTTCATGTCGTTCTCGAATATATGTTGAATTTTGATAAACATATTTGGCTGTGCGCCTATACTGCACAATTGAATTACTCTTGGCTTGCGCAACTCTGGCTTGCAAAATTTTCGTGTGCTTTTTTGCAACCCCACAAATTGAAATGTATGCACTATTTTGAAATTATATATATTAACCGTGGATTTTTCAGGCACACATATTACGTTAATATCTTACTTCCTCGTCACCTTCGCATTTTCTATAGCTACTACACATACTTTCTTACATGTACCGGTATACCCTTTTATTCTAGACACACATCCACTCGGACCAACTTGCAGCTTATTTGAACCAGATACATGTACTTAACTCTCTAATAGGCTATTAATGAAGCTGCTTCACTATAAAAACGTATTATATGCAGAGGGTTAGATTAAAATAGCGTAGTCCATCTATACGTTGGTCATGATGTCCAAACATCTTATCCAAGGTGTGCTTTCTCGGCGCTTTACACAGAAAGCGATTTCCTTGAAAAGGGTGAGTACAGATAATCAAAATTTGCATGCACATGTCACAGTGTATGTTTTTTGTATATGTCATGTGAAAACATTGAGGGAATTGGCGCCAGATATTCAGAGCAGAAGGTCCATACGCCTATGACTGTGATATAATTAAAAGCCCCTAACCAACGGTGCTGAATCAGAAGTAAAAACTCTAGATTGATCACATTTTAAAGCAGACTTCTGGGCTTAAATGTCGTTTTCTCATCTCGAAACGTCTATTAAAGGACGGATTTTGTCGGAGTTTCAAACAGATAGCCCTTTCTTTAAGGACGCGGAGAGGGGGTAGGTGGCAAGAACATGGCCAGCCTCTCAAAGGTCCAAGATAAACCATCGTGTTGCATATCAATAAAGGATCATTTAAAAAGCTTTTCATCTTAAATCCTTATTTTATTGCATATTACTTACATATTAGGAGATATACGGTAATGCGACCAGTACTTTGATGGGACTTTAAGTGGGTCTGTGCAACTTTAACATTAAGGGGTGCAATAAAATACTTTTGGATGCAGGTGTGCTCTCTATGGATACACCCATGTCGTATAATATATACCCATATCGTATTTGGATTATATTGTCACCTTTATCTGGGAAAGAAGTACCCTACACGGGAACGATCGAACAATTTGGATACCTGCGGCATTTTGCTGGATCTACACGTCTTAGTCATGTCTTTTTTGTGCTTTCCGAGGCATTGTGAAAAGTGACTGACTGTTGTTCCCATAGCTGACTTAGGTATTTTGTATCCTTAATAAGCGAAGCCCCCTTATTATATGCTGTGTATAATTTATACATGTGATTCATGGATGTTCCTCTTTTGAGTTACTTGTATGCATGCATAGCACCTGTAGGGTCCCTGGTGAATTGAATTAAGTCAGTGTCATTTATTCATTAAGACGACCCTGAGGTTTTCATATGAAATTTAAATGTTTTGAAATAGGTGGGCTATTATTTTATTTTCTTGACAAGGCCTATGATCACAAAGAAAATACAGAAAAAATCTACAGATAACTGTATAACAGAAAAATACCCTGTATCTAAACTACATTTGTGCCAACGTTTGGCTCCAATAGCTGTTGTGGTTTCACATATTTTCCTAATTAATCTTGGCTGCACTCATTGACCTGTTTTATATTATGGTATACTTATGAAGTATAGGGGATGTATGATTATCTCCCCTTCCAATTTTGTAACTTTGTATCTTATTATTTTTCGTCATTAATAAATGAAAAGTTGCAGTCAAGAGGACTTTATCTTACTTACCTTTGAGCAAAACAGAGCTTCGTTGTGCTTGTGCTCATTTGGCTACATAAAGATGTTTTCTACACTAGAACGACAGTGGAAGAAAAGTCTCCTCCACAGTTTGCAAAAAATGGATTAAGCTTGAGGCCAGATATCAAACATTATGCGATATTTACCCATATGTCATAAAGTTTTTCAGCTCATTGCTCTTGGGAATATAAATTGATATACAGTTTCTATATCGCCAGATGTTTTTGCTATAATAGTTATTTAAAACCCAATTTCACTTTTAGCTATTTCTTAAAGTGCATACTGTGTGAAAGATACATGTATTATCTATCTCGCGAATGGAACTAACGGCAAAGGTAGCGTACGTATATTGACTGTGAACGCTTAGCGCCATCGATTTTTTGCAGAATGAAACTAAAAAAACTAAATAGGGGAGGGTGAATTACTAGTTATAACTGTGAGTCTAATTATACTGTTCTTTTCATTACAGACCCCTCACGATTACCCAAGAGTGACAGGATCGGAGCACTGGAAAAGAAAAATTCGCACCTTCTTCAGAGCCAACGATGTAGACAGTGACCGATATTTGACCAAACACGATTTTGAAATGACTGCTCATCGCATTGCAGATTATATGAAATTTAATGGTAACCAATATATATACCGTATATACACTGTATATTGTTTTGATAAGCTGACAATTGTAGTAAGTGTAAGGGCCCATTCAGAATAGGGGACTAACTAGTTCGAGGGTCAAATATGGCGACCTACTACAAAACTGCCGTCTAATCCGCTTATAGACTCTAAATAGATATCCCATTGGGAAGTATTCAAGTGGGTCGGCCATATTTGCATGACCCTCGAACTAGTTAGTTCCCTATTCTGAATGAGGCCTTAAACTATCTTTGTCCTAAATAGATTGACGTTTAAGTATTGCAATGGTCACAACTGATTTTATTTCACGGTGCATATAATTTGAATTTTGCAATAAGTCACACCAAAACGTTAGATGGCCATTGCAAGTTTTCTTTTTTACCGTTTTAGCAGAAAAAAAACGCACATTTATTACCTTGCGATTAAACCCAGGGCTTAATTTTTTGCAGACAAAATGACAAAAGAGATAATCAAGATCCGTCTGAACGCCTGGAAGGCGATCGTACAAGAAGAGAACGACGCTGAAAACTCCAAGTTGTCTGAAGACGTCTATCTTTCTAACTTGCTCGCCGTCGTCAATACCGACTTCCGCGAAGCGATTGTTGGGTTTCTTAGTGTTGATTTTGATTCCTTGGATCTTGACGGTGACGGTTTCATCTCCCCGAAGGAACACGAAGCATTTTTCTCCGGCTTTGGAATTCCGATAAAACATTCTGCGGAAACCTTTAAGATGTTTGATACCGACGGCGATGGCTTGATAACCAGGGAGGAGTTCATTCAAGGAGTGGTGGAGTTCACTTTTAGCGAAGATGAAAACAGCCCTTACAATTGCTTATTTGGGCCACTCATTGACTAAACAATTCTCAATGAACTTTTCCATGATACAAACTTATCTCAATGTATATACATTTGCTTACATCTTAATGTTTTTACGGACGGCTTTCTTTTCTTCCATCACGTTCATTTGAGATTAATGATTAAAATGGCCATAATCTTATAGCAGACGTTTCTGTCAAAATTGGTCTACACGTACCACATTATATGCAGAGGTAGAATTCTAAGTAGAAGCAATGGTATAGCAACAGGTATGTGTATTTACTCAGAATATTAAGTGATGCTATTTGCACCTACCAAAAATAAGGCATGTCGATATATACCTAAAATAACTTTTAAAGTAAGAAAGAAATAAACGAAAGTAATAATATCAATGACAAACGTCACTTTGTGTCTGCAAACGTTATTAAATGATGAATTTACATTATAAGGTAAGTGAGCGTTGCTTTAGAAAGAATGAGGAACTTATTAACATATTGAAATCTTAATATTTGCAATTTAACCTATACCCAATTTAGTCGATTCTAATTTGTAAATGTAAAATCCCATTGTTATTGCTTGAATAAATTACCTATCTATGACTCTTAAGTATATTATTCCAATAAAACTAAAAAAGGCGTTTGTGTAAATAATGCCAAATAAAGGTTCAAAAATATGATTCATTATAAACAGACAGGCATATGTGAAGACACGTCAAGTAGTATTGTGCCAGTTGTAACGCTGATGTTTGTTCGGTGCCTTATGGTGACCTTTTACATTTTATTTGTCATCGCTTATGATCTCCAAACAAATGTTGTATAAATAATCATTTGATCATTTTGCCATATTTTGCTGCCCACCTAACAAAATGCAAGGAACAGCCGCCAAAGTTTTCAATTAGAATTTTAATTGCAATGAAAGTTTTGATGCTTTTTGACAAATGTTCCCATACAAGTGTGCACCGTCGCCCATTCGCCACTCCCATAGGCCCAATAGTCGAACCCTGCAATGTTCTTTCCTGTAAACTTTTTTTGCTGGAATGCATTCTTCAGGCCGAGAGAAGCAAAATTAGCTTGGTTGCTATTTCCGAGACATTGAGCATTTTTCAATATGGCCGTCAATTTATGAGGAAATATAGAAAACGACCAGAAGTCGCCGGGTACACTTTATTAAGTGCTTCTTTGAATGTTTATCCTATCAGGAGAGAACCAGCCCCAGTAGAGTGTGTCAACAATGACGACAGCATTTTCTTGATTTGCCTGGCTACAGTGGCTGAAAAAGGATGTATTTATTCTTGATTTATTGCTTTTACAGAAACAATGACAAACTTGAATGTCTCCTTTTTCTGAGCACCCACAAACACGACACAATTTAGTGACAGCAGATAGTACTTCAAAACCCTGCCAGCGATTTTTCTTAAAAGCCTCAGTTCAGATTTTATCGTAAGTAAAGCAAAATTATACCCTTTAAATGAAAATCTGTAATTAGGTGCTCACAACTTCCTTACAATAATATTTAAACCAACAAGACGGCACGAGATTGAAGCCGATACACTTGCCGTCATGCACCTATGCCAATCTTTGAGATGACATTTTTTGCAGGGATAGATTTGCAACCCATACCGAATGCTATCTCACCTCAAAACAGAAAGGTTGCATTTGACTATAAACGCCCCCAGGTGCTTATGCTTATGCTTAGCAACGATATTTTATACTTCTAAGGGGCGTTTATTGTTTTAAATCAGCGTCTTTTTTTTAATCTGCATTATTGAGAAATTAAATGCAGATTAAACATTTTTCGATATTTTGATGGTCATAAAACCTGTCAGTACCCGTAAGAACACAATTACCAAGATGTGTAACCATTAAAGAAAATATTAAAAGAGATTTGGATTGCAGTAAACATAATAGGCAAGACCTTTGCTTGTCCAGACCTGTTGGCAATTCGCCACTGTCCAACAATCTCTTCTCCATCTTTCCATTATCCAGGGTCACGGGATCTGAACGTCCCGGTAGGACCCGTAAATATAGTGTAAATGATCATGTACAGCGACATGGGTACGGTGGTGTAATTAACCTTTTATTCATCCTGATTAAAATACTGGGTGTTGATCTTTACGCGAGATGGAGCAGATAATTGCCTCAGCTTATTCTTCGGACGTTAATGATTGCATCTGAAGGCATGCAAAGATGGGCATCAGCAGCAAGGGTACAGAACACTAACTGTAATGCCAAGTGTATTGCAAAGTATACTCACCTATCTCTACTAAGGCTGTATTCCCAGAGCTTTTAGATCGATCTATTCCCGCGGGGAGTCTCACTAAATTACTGTCAGATAATCCGGCTTAAATGTCCGTTCCTGTAAGGGGNCTTTAGTATACACATAGGGCTTCTTCTGCCATGGAGATATAATATTAATTGATAAATTAGGTTTGTTTCTGAGTATTTTCCACATCTTTTTAATTCACGTAATACATATGTGATGAGAATGTTATGTCTATCCTTTTCGAAAGCAAAACAAAACAAAATGGCTGCCATTAGCCATAGAAGGTGGGGTTCAGTTAATACCTGCGAGAGATAGGCTTACAAATAAAATGAAGCTGAATTCAGTTGTTATTCTGTTTTTTTTTTAGTATTATTATCCCATGATACATATCTGTCAGGTAATTAATGTCCATATTTTATCATTTTGGGGTAATCCAAGATGGCCTTCTTTTCCCCAAAGGAAAACTGGTGCATTAGATTTTATAGGCACTTCTAAGGCAGATGAGGGTAATCATGATATTTTTTCAAAATACTTAAGGGTATACACTTGTTACCCACCAGATAGATATCTAAAAGTCCAAAAAGAATGTGGGAAATACCGAGAAACAAAATTCATTTTATATTGAACCCAATGTCTCTCTGGCAGTAGTTGACTGTACTATTCCTATTGTGAATTGCAGCAATCTTGAATTTTCTCAATTACGCAATATGCACACTTGCTACACACCAGATTTAAAAAGATTAAGGTTAATAAGGATGTCAACATGTTTAAACATCAAACGGCTTTATTTCATGTTGGAATCAATGTCTGAACTGTTCTATTAATTGACACCTATGTGCATTTGAATGATATATTCCTATGACAACTGGCAGCTATCTTGGGTTTTCTCTGAATAATACTAAAGGATACATACACTTTCAAAACACACAGAGTCTTTCATAAGGATAAATAGGATATGAAAAACATTTAAAAACGACCCAAAGTTAACTACATTTAAATCGTACTCATTGTATCTCTAGCATTATTTGATTATGTGTTCGAATATTCTGACAAAAGGCAGACATCTTGAATTTTTTCAGAATACCCAAAGATAAACACATGCTACAGACCAGGTATACATCATAGGGGTAATAATAAATGGAATGAAAAACATGAATTATTTTTTTAAACAAACCCATGGAAATGTAATTGTATAATGAACCATATGCCTCTCTAACAGCAATTGAAACCCACCCATTAGTATTCCTGTGTTAAATTGTAGGTATCTTTTTCTCAGAATATCGAAGGATGCACACTATTTACCCACCAGATATATATATCATAGGACTAATAAGGATGGGCAAAACTTGATAAGCAAACACAAATTCACACTGGTAGTACCGGTAGATGAAAAGCCATGGATGTGCAGTTGTAATTCCAGTAGTATTCCTATGGACAGTGACGGCCATCTTGGGTTTTCTCAAAATGATCAAATATGCACATTTATTACTTGCTAAATATGTATCACAGTGTAATAATACTGTGTAAAACACTAAATAAATAAACTGAATTTGATAGTGAATTAGCTGGCATTAGTTCCAACCCTTTGTAATACTAGAAGTATTCCTATTACATATGACGGCCATCTTGGATTTTCTCAAAATGCCCAAGAATACTGTTAGTTACTCACCACATACATATTGTGTGGGTAGAAATGATGTGGAAAACACTCAGAAACCAGCTTAATTTGATAGTAAAAACTAATCTTTCCAGTTGCCATTAGTTGAATCCCCCATATACTAGAATCATGGGGCACATGGCAGCCATCTTGGATTTTCCAAAATGCCCAAGAACACTTCGTAGTTACTCACCACAAACATATTATGTGGGTGACAAAGATCTGAGAAACAGACTTAATTTGATAGTGAACAACGTATCGTTCTAGCTGGTAATAGTTGTGCACTAGTATTCCTGTGGCTGTTTCTATGGCAAATAACAGCCATCTTGGATTTTTTTTAAAAAGTCCAAGGGAACTTGTTTGCTATCTGACATATATGAATAAAACGGGCAATAAGGGTGTGGAAAACTCTGAGAAAATAATTTATTTGATAAAAATGAACATAGGTATGTACATATTTCTAAAGAATTCAAAACATTGGCGGCCATTTTGGATTTTTTGGCCAAACGGTAATTTTTTTCCGTGGGCTACGGCTCTAATTTGATTTAGAATGTCAAAAGGTACCCACATGCAAAATTTGGTGCTTTTATCCGCCGTGTCACGATTTTTTCCTTAAGCCACCGGACTAAACTGCTCACTTGTCATTGAGGTGCTTGTTCAAGACTACAGGCTGATATCTACTAGTACTACCAGTGGCTTCATTAGTAACGTTCCCACAATACTTAGTTTTCTGTCTGTGCGTACATACCCTGAAAATGGTTAGCCTCACTGATGAGAACAATGGACGTTTCTCACCCCTCTCTAGGATTACCCCTGATTATGCTAAAATAAGTTAATACAATTGAAGGGAGTTAACCACACGAAATGTGCCAAATATTTGCGAGCCGTCAGTAAAAAGCATAACTCGTGCCCTTTGGGAAAAATTCATCTCTTTTAACCAATAGGAAGCCCTATAGTGTCAGTAATACGGCTACTGGGTAATTTGACCTTGGCGTTTTTGAGGGGCTTGGCTTGGTTGTGTACCAGTACTCACTAGCTCTTCTTGCTTCCCTATGATAGTAACGGCCTAGGTCACAAGAGAGTAGTCGTCAATTTGACTGCTCCTATTGGCTGAACAATAGTAATAGTTCCAGTCTAAATGTTCAAATCGTGGCATATTGGCAAGGAATATGAAGTTAACGGACCCAAAAGCAATTACTTTGTGACATTTGGAGTTCATAACACTCCCAATATTTTACACTCGCAAAATGGAGGAGCATGCATGCTCACTTTTAAACGCATTTTCCGGTCAGATCTTATGGACTAACGTCATTATCTTGATTTGAAAAGTGTCCAGGCACTGACCACGGTCACCATTGTTGTGCTGTCGCAGAGGTCGCTTGCCTGTGACACTGGTTGTCACACAACACTGCAGACAGTGACCACTGCATATAAGGAGTTGCGCGCTGGACATTTGTGTGAAACAAACGGGCGTCAACCATATACGTACTCATACCTTGGTCAAAAGCACCGTAGGCAAGAGGTAAGTCGAATCTTTCACTGTACGCATATATTATGAAGTGGAATATCTTTCAAATACTAGTAAGTTATATGCGTCCTTTGTGTTGTGTTCGTGCTTTTTCCTACCTTCACCCGGTGTGCTCTCCCTGCGTGGAAATTACGGTAAGTACTGCGCACACCAGGTGGAGAGCCCTGCAACTTCCCTGCCTGATCACGGTGAGAAAAACTCAACCACAGCTACCGTGCAGATGTGTACGGTAGCAAAGACGAAAAATGATCAGAACTGAGACACAATACACAGTGATCTACAATCTCACTCCGTAAGAACCGTAGAACCAGTGAATACTTTATTTGAAAGAAGGAGTGACTCTTTGTACTGAAGTTAAACAGTTTCTAATTTCTCATGCACTGCACTGAAATCAATCCCAGTCTTCGGTGGTAAATGTAGTTTTTGCTAAAATTAAACGCGTCTATTTGACGCGTTTCTACTTTCAAACAGAAAACTTAAAATGGTATTGTTTAAGTAAATCGCGGATGCAGTGTAGTTACTTAGAACTCCAGGTATACACATTTGCAGCCTATCGCAGATACATGTAGTATTTTGCCTGTAAACGTTTTTTGTCGATTGAATTATGATAACCTTGCTTAAAATTATGTACAACTGCATGCAGCCTTCCATCCAAACGTCGTTTACAAAATACTCGACCATTTTCATACATTGCAGTTCTTTTAACAGAATACAGACGATTTCATGCTTCAATCTGTATACGTTGTAGTTAAGCAGAGGACAGCAGAAGCTGCACTGATGGCGGGGATTCTTTTCTCGAAGCGTCTATTAAAAGACGTCTTTTCTGGGCGTTACACACAGAAGGCACTTTTCGCGAAAATGGTGAGTTAATATACACAATACATGTAGCCCCACAGAAATAGATAGGTGTATATATAGATCAATGCACACCGGCGTATATCCTAAGCAAAAAAGCTGAAACATTTACTTCATCATTTTGTTTTTAAAAGTGCCCACTTACTGACCAACCTCAATGGCTGACCACTAATTCAGTGACACGTGAACAAACAACAAGCACACTGTAGGCACACACAAAGACCCCATTCCCATAGATTTTAGATCGATCTATCCCTGTGGGGAGTCTCACTAGTTACCGTGAGCTTAGCCGGTTTAAGCGTCTGTCCCGCCTACTAAAAGCTGTAAGGGGGTAATTGAATATGACTGCAATTTAGCGTGAACCCCCAGGGAGTTGGGTCGATCTAAATCTAAATCTCTGGATCGATCTAAATCTCTGGGAATGCACCCAAAGAGTTACACGGTTGACGTCAGTTTGTGATAATATAGTAAAGAACTTTGGTCATAAGTACTTGCACGCTGGGCAATATTGCAGCAGAAAAAGCACTTTACTCTGTTATGTAGCCCGTTCAGAAATTGTCGTAATCACCAATTTATTGAAATAGAACATTTTAAATTTCGCCAATATGTTTATCGTGACCAAGATTCATTGTAAAACCACATTGCTATTGCTTTAATTAAACGCATTTATTTGGAATTGAAGTATTTTATCTTATGGTTGTGTAAATAACATGCAGTGTAGCCACTTTAATATGCCAGTCATTAACAGATAAAACAGACGTACGCAGCCTCGTCATCCAGAAAATTATTTTGTCCGTCAAAGATGTTTCAGTCAATTGACTTTCGCGGTGATTCAGACCGCGACGAAAATCTTACCGAAAAGATTTTGTAATGACTGCTCTAAAGCAAGACCATCTTAAGTTTGAGGCAAGTTTGTAAGAAATATTCATATCCTTTCAAATTCAAATAAGCGCCTTATTAACATGCTAAATTCCTTCTTGCAAAATGTAGCAAATTTGCGACATCAGTTCGCTAAGGGATATTGAGCGTGGGTGTGATTAATCACCAACAACAAAGTTGACTTAAATATTCTTACGAGCATCGTGGTGCTTTTGATCCCACTGCGTTTCTTTCAAATCACTTGCGTTTGTACCCTGCCGTTTATTTAGCGCCAGTGAACAGAAAATATGATTTTAAACTAAGAGCATCCATTCGTAAAAGAGAACTCCAGAATTAATTAATTATTCTCTGCAAACGTATTTTACAAATACCGCTTTTTCGGAGTTTCACAAAGAAGTCGGTTATTTACAAATATGAATGTAATTGATGTTATAAATACAGGTATATCACCTAAAGAAAAAAAGGTGGGGGGTGGGGGGTTAAATCGAATTCGTTAAAGCAAAAAGTGATATCCATACCATTATGTGTATCAGTAGCTCATCTACGACAATACATCTTCGTTTATATTTAGGTACACACTTTAAGAAGTGTACTGCGTAACCCTACTCCGTTGTACTTACCATTACCCCTAATTCAGGTGAACAATGTGGAGGAAGTCATTGAAATCCAGTTTTGATGAAATGATAACTCATTCTGTCGCAATTTAAATTACACAAAATAGAAAATTGTGGAGTTCAAGTGTGTCTCGATCGTTATCGGGAAAATGGGTGCATTAAGGGGGATGAGTATTGTTTTGGATGAGAGCGTCGATCCTCTTTCTTATTATATAATTGGTTCATCCGTTCCTTTCTCTTAACTGACCCAAAGAGTTTACAATTTAAACCACTTTGACAAGTAACTGGATAGTTTTTATATCTTTCACAGAAAAGGACCAACTTTTTAAATGTTGCATTTCATAATACTGTGTTTGTTATGGCTACCATTACATGTAACTTATCTAATGCTGTGTGACATAATACTGTGTTTACTATGGCTTCATATTAACCTCATCGCCTGATAGTACTCAGTACATGTATTCGTGACACCTGAAAAACCTTTGATGTTAATGATCCAAAGACAAAAAAGGTACAAACAGTTTTTACATCATTCAAAAGACTTGAAAAGAAATGGCTATTTGCAAGTTGTGATATGGATTTCATGTATTAATGCTCTCTAATTCTTTTATTCCAGTCTCCTCACGACTACCCGGTTTTGACAGGATCGGAGCACTGGAAAAGAAAAATCCGCACGTTTTTCAGAGCTCATGATATCGACCGCGACGGATTTCTGACCAAAAAAGATTTCGAAATGACTGCTCATCGCGTTGCTGATTACATGAACCTTGATGGTAATAACCCCAACCCCTGAAATTAAGTTAACGTCTGATGTATGTTAAGAGCATACGAGTAGTTCAATTAAATATACAACTCGCTATTGTTCTGGGGCAAGTTTACCGCAAGAGATAATAAAGTATCAATATTATGACTTATGTTACATTATTTAACAGAAATTAACAGTGAGTTAGATTAACAGCTAAATTGTTTTCATGGCTTTGTGACATTTATTGATTGTAAATGTGTGTTTAATTTAATTTATTGCAAATAGAAATGAAATATTCCCAGTTTTTCTTATAACAAAATCTAGTTTTGCCTTTTTAATGTTTATTTCAGACAAATCGACACAAGAATTACTGAGAAGTCGTCTAAAAATCTGGGAAGGAATTATTCAAGGCGGGGACCCGGATGACTTCAAGGTATCTGAGAAAGTTTATTTTTCTCATCTCCTCGCTACCCTAAATACCGAATTTCGCGAAGCAGTTGTTGGATTCGTAAACAATGACTTCGATTCAATGGATCTTGACGGCGACGGCTTCATCTCCCCGAAGGAACACAGAGCATTTTTCTACGGCTTTGGAATTCCGACGGAGCATTCTGCGGCAGTCTTTGAAGCGTTTGATACCGACCGCGATGGCCTGATCAGCAGAGAAGAGTTCGTTCAAGGAGCGGTGGATTTCACTTTAAGTGAAGATGAAAACAGTCCTTACAATTGCTTTTTGGGGCCACTTGTGAAATAAACCATTTATGGGCGCTTTAGCTCTTAAGATTTTATCATGGAGCCCACAACACCTATTAAACAAAAGGTTACAGACATACATGTTAACACTGTATAATAGCTAGCGTCTAAATGTATACACATTTTCTTACAACTTAATGTTTCTACAGACGGTTTCCCTTTCTTCCATCACGTTCATTTGAGACTAATGGTTAAAAATGGTATTTAAAACAATTATAATAACATAACACGCGTTTCTTGCAAGTTGAAAATTGGCCGACCACATTATATTCAGAGGTCGAATTCTAAAAAAGAAGCAATGATAGCACAGGTTCAATGACATAAGTAATGACAGTAGTAGTAATGTAATTATGTGGTTATATATAGTGTTCTTTTTTATGAATTTATTATATACCCTTTCTTGTGGTAAGCACATGGCGACAACTATACAAGGTACTTACTGGGATCTATATATTTTGTGTGTGGGGGTCCCGGGGATTCTTCAAAGAGCTCTAGATTTCTTAGACGGACGCTCTTCAGAATATACTACACTATAGGTTAGATCATACTACTGAGTACATGTAGGTTTAAAATTTTCAGTTGAACAGTTTTGTTGGAATCGGTATTTTTCATGGCACACTGTTATGCATGAATATACATGTATATATTTGTATTGTTAAGCATGATTATGTATATTTGTATTGTCAATGCCTTTCAATTTTATGTATGGTAAGGATATAAAAATGTATAGTATTGTGCCCACTGTTATCTCGCCATTATAATTCTGTGTAAATGTTATAAGCATATTTTGACACAAAAGTCATGAAATAAATACTATAAGCATATTTACTGATCTCCCTTTTGATTTAATTATAACTTTCACTTTCAGCACTTAAAAAGCTTTCCTTATTCAAACCTACATTAGAACACTGTAGCTTGTGGTTGAATATGCTCTGTGGGAACCCAATCTAAAATGCTTTACGAAACTGATTTGTCATCATTTTGAGCCCAGGGAAAAGGGGAGAGAGATGGAAAAAGTATTTCAAGCGCCGGTGTATCGTGACAGAGAGTCCCTCATGATAGATAGTCCGCTTTCCTTTCATTTGTCAGCCCTCGCCCTAGATTTTGTCCCACTGAGGTCAGGCTAACTTTTACCATTATTGCAAATGGAGGGCGTACTTGCTGTTACTAAGACCCTCAGTTACACGGGTCGTATGCAATTTCAGCTCCAAAAGCCATGCTCACAGACAAACTCGATACGACACGAACCACATATGGAACTCGTATATATTTTCAGGGGCGGATCCATGATTATTTGAAGGGGGTCCACGGATGCAAATCCGACCCCCCCTGGAGGGCCTCGAAAATTTTTGGTAATTTAGAGGGAGAACAGTGCCATTTGGTACGGTTTAGAAATATGACTCAGCTAGTCCAAATTCTAATTTTAAGGTGGAGGGCACTGGTGTGATATTTTCAGAAATTTAGGGGTCTGGACACCCGTGACTCCCCCCCCCTAAATCCGCCACTGATTTCGAGTGGCAGAGAGACGTCAACACCGGGAGCACAAATCACATATTAAAAACCAATTCACGCCTCGCCATTATACATGTATATATTTTTTGGACCAAGTAAACTATAAATCGCCATGGTGCACGTAGATTTGGTATTCATTAAAGTCAAAGTTGAATTTGAAATTAATTCTTACAGGCACCATGGTTCTCCCATAAAAATGCATTTCAATTCACCCGCATATCTTCTTTGTGGTTTATTTCTATTTCAAAGTCAGCAAACAGAATAGTTGACCTTAAACTTACATGTAGAGCATTCATCAGTGTGGCTGTACGCAAGCGTCTCGATTCCATAACACGCCCATACTCGCCCCATGTAATATACTGTAACCTCTATGTGGTATCAATATTCGCAATACGCGATGCTTTCGAGTTACAGAGCCCAGATCACGGCATCAATGGAGAGGATTATTCTTGCCAGTCGTTCCTTACAGGCCACGATTTATCGGCGTTTTACCCAAAAACCGATCATTTTGAAAAAGGTGAGTGTACATTAACTGACATGACTTTTTTCGCCTAAAGGCAGAAAACGGAGCTCAAATGAAATCGTGATAGCAACAATGACCGCATTCACATCGAGAAGAGCCGAGGCTAAGCAAGGCCGAGACCTAAATATGGCGGACGTGCATGAAAGGAAAACCGCCTAATCCTTTAATGGTCTCTCCGCCTCTCACACGCCTCCCCATGCGTCGTCCCTGCTGGGGTACAGTCATTAAATCTCGGCTCCATTCGTCCGGAAGCTACCTGAGAAAAATTAAGTGCGCATGCTCATTGGTCTTGGGTCAGCTGACATTATCTCTGCAGATAGCCGATTCATTGCTGCTCTACGGGCCAATTCATGCCTTTTTTTGTCTCTGTTTTGAAAGATAATAGAACAGAAGAGCTTTTTTCCTTCGATCGCCTCCAGCTGCCATGCTTTCTTCACCTCGAGTTTAACTGAAGGTCTTGCGCACTTAATTTTTTCTCAGGTAGCTTCCGGGCCAATGGAGCCGAGATTTAATGACTGTACCCTCGCTTTGGGAGGCGTGTGAGAGGCGGAGAGACCATAAAAGGATTAGGCGGTTTTCCTTTCATGTACGTCCGCCATATTTAGGTCTCGGCCTTGCTGAGCCTCGGCTCTTCTCGATGTGAATGCGGCCAATGATATGCACACCCTTATGTATATCACAGCTACGACAATGTATTTATTTTACAGGTAATTATTTTCTTTTCATAAAGAAAATGCACCAAAGCGTCAGCACAATCATGATATGTACCTGTAGAAATGTGACACATTCCACGTTTTTTGATAGAATTCAACAGAATGTTTCATCAAAACGAATGTCTTTTTCGTACATTATTTGTTATTATCTATTGCATATACGGAGGTTTCAATCGGCGACAATGTTTATACATAACGCAAAACATACTATACTAATACATATACTGTATTGGATTCCATTCGTCACTGAAGAGTTCATTCATTCCAGTCTCCTCACGACTATCCGGTTGTGACAGGATCAGAGCTTTGGAAAAGCAAAGTCCATACATTCTTCAGAGCCCATGATTTAGACGGTGACGGATATCTGAGCCAAAATGACTTTGAGATGAGTGCTAATCGCGTCGCAGATTACTTGAGCATTGACGGTAACTGTTAATCTGCATTTATAACTTGGCGTTTGTGTTAAGTGATCAATTGCATTTTATTCTCATTGGCAGCCCAATGTGCAACCGTGTAAAACATAAAAATTATATTAGCCTTCACGTTATTTTACAATATCACTCGGGTGACGGTGTATTATCTCACATCTGAGTGAAGATGGAACGTTAAGCGTACAAAATAAATATTTCAACCGATATTTGTGACATTGAATAACACGTTCACTACTGTTTATGTTTTATGTGTCAAATTTCAACCAAATCTAATATGCGAAGTTATTCTTATTTCGAATCGTTTTTCTTGTTTGTCTTCAGGTATAATGGCAAAAGAATTAAAGAAGAATCGTTTAAAACTCTGGGAAGCCATTGTTAAAATGGGAAAAACGCTGCTGACTTCAAGCTGTCAGAAGAGGCTTATCTTTCAAGCTTCCTTGCTGCCGTCAATTCCAACTTCCGCGAATCTCTAGTTGACTCAATAAGTTTCGACTTCGATTGCATGGATATTGACGGAGACGGTTTCATCTCCCCAAAGGAACACGAAGCAGTTTTCTTCGGCTGGGGAATCCCGATAAAGCACTCTTCGGATGTCTTTAAGGTGTTGGACGCCGACGGCGATGGCTTGATAAGCAAAGAGGAGTTCATCGAAGGAGCGGTAGATTTCACTTTTAGCGAAGATGAAAACAGTCCTTACAATTGCTTTTTCGGACCACTTGTGAAATAAAACAATCATCCGTGGTCCCTTTGATTCGTAAGGCAAGATTACGTAGACAATGTTCAGCGTAAATGTACCCTGCAAAACCAATGGTGCCCTTTCCACTGCCAGCATTTTGATAAAATGCAGACCTACCCAACTACCAGACTCGGCACATAAGGATCCTGAATTAACTGGTATATCGGACCACACTACCCGTTTTCAAGGTGTGTGTCAGATCGCATTTCGGAGTATCAGTCAGAACACCGACAGGATGAGCCCACGCTTGGCTGTCACCTTGATTGGATAGTAAACGGTTGTCGTAAATCGCTATATGATTTTAAAACCGGGTGCATAAATTTGAAAACCACCTAGAACAACCTTAGACTGTCACATTAATCTAATACAATGCAAAAAACCCTTTCAAAAGTGGTTAAAGCATTCAAACCGAATGTCGTAAAGTCCCCATATACCCCCATAGAGACAATAAAATAGAGTACTCTAAAGTTAGAGTACAGTCTAAGGTTGTTCTAGGTGGTTTTCAAATTTATGCACCCGGTTTTAAAATCATATAGCGATTTTACGACAATCGTTTACTATCCAATCAAGGTGACAGCCGAGCGTGGATGAGCCCGCGGTCGTCCTACAAAATTTGTTCTGGGGTGTGATACTCCGAAATGTGATCTGACACATACATTGAAAACGGGTAGTGTGGTCCGATATACCGGTTAATTCAGGATCCTTATGTGCCAAGTCTGATAGTTGGGTAGGCCTGAAATGTGGACTTTCCGTCATACGAAGGAAGGAATTCACCCACCTATATACACAATCTAGAAGTTATCTGCGCCATTACACATAGGGCTAGTACCATCAAAAGACAGGGCAAGTATAGAAAAGCAGTGACAATTGTGACATTTGGGACAGTATGTAATTCTCTCACGTTCAATTAAGAATAACGGTTACAGAATCAACATCATGAATTATTTTACCCCTTAGGTACTGGTACACTGTGTGACACTGATTGGCCTACGAGATGATATTTCACGAATATTATACAGAAACTTTTTTTTTTATAAAATAATGCAATGACAACGGTGCGTCAGGACAAAAAGTAATATGATCTGCACCTGAAGTAAAAAAGACTTGTCAATATACCCGCTAACACACGATGTAATTTGTTAAAGAGAAATACACTGTAAATAGATCAAAAACCGTAAAATCACTGACGGCAGACTGTGTAAGTCAAGTTTGGCGTACAAAGGCCTAAAGAGATCCGACCCACACAGACATATAAAGCGCAGACTGCATACCGGTAGCTTGGATATTTTGTTTTCAGACAAATGGAGACAGGTACCTCGTGCGTTTTGGGACTTATCAAATTGTTTCAGACACCGTGACAACGATATGGTGATCTGTTTTTGGCCTTTCTTTTGCCAGGGGAGAGGTGTAGTGAATTGATGATACGCATATCCATATTGTGTCATGTAATATTCACGGTTGCAACAAAGAATCTTATATTCAATGCAATAACAATATTTTTCACCTTAAACTGAAACCGCCCCTCCCATAGATAAAGAGTAAGCCGCATTATAGCATGCAAGAACGTCTTTGTGAATATACACAGACATGTTCATGTATACCTTACGTAGCTAGTGAACCCGAAAGTGTCAGTTACTGCATCGACTTTTTCATTTAAAGCCATAAAAAGAACGATTACCCAATTTTTTGATGCAGCTCTGAACACAAAACTATTTGCATTCTGGTATAACTAACTCGCTTTTCTTCCAATACTTAGTTACGGATCCCTAGACAACGGAAAAATGTCGTTGTTACGTTTCTCCAAAAAACTTGTCCAACGTTCGTTTTGGCGTCATTTTTCGCAGCAGACGATTTCCATACAGAAAGTGAGTATTCTTCACCAGACAACAAAAGCTTTATAGTGCATCTTGAAAAAGAAATAACGAGTACGAGTGCAGCAAGATTATTTAGTGAACGACAATTGCTCATCCGAAAAATGGGTTGTAAAGGGGCCAAAGCCCCTCTTTGGAAGTGCACGTCTTCCTTCCCCGAACAGCGTAGAAGTGTATACTTGTAACGCACGCTTTACGTACGCTAAGCAACCAGTCTTAGATGCAGAAAATATTCATCTCACACAGCTGAGTCACTTCGTCAGCGGGCCCTTTGATTTTTATTCTGTGTTATATTTATTCTTTCTTAAATCTAGATAATCCGACCTGCCGACGGAATTTAGTTACAATTAGCAAAGGGTATAGCACTCTTTTCTTCTGTCTGTAATGGTAGACAACATGCAATGAGAGCCCTGATCAACAACTATTTTTTGCAAACTTATGTCACTCTTGCTTCACGGACAATAAAGGGTTACATCTTGTTCATGTATGGTCAGATTTACACTGTTATATTTGGATTTGTGTTTTTTCTGTTTTTCTCAATAATTTGTGTAAAGAATGTGAGTTAATGTGAATCTTGTTCAAATTAACCTAAAGGTACATCACACGTATTCCAGACCCCTCACGACTATCCTATGGTGAAAGGTTCGGAAATATGGAAAAGAAAATTCAGGACCCTCTTCAGGTCCAATGATGTAGACGGCGACGGATACCTGACAAGGAGAGATTTTGAATTGAGCGCCCATCGCGTTACAGCTTACATGTGCCTTGACGGTAGCACAGCAAAACATTCTATTTTATATTAGTTTTGTTTATTAGAGAGCTGTTGTTTGTGCACACATGAGTCGATCAACTTAGTGTTAACTTGCTACAATATCAAAATGATGAATTATGACCACAACAAAATGTTACGTGATTGTAGCTTAAAGTGACATCAAAACCTTTTCAATTACAATGGATACTTACTAAGGTAATTGGATGAGATGTGCATGTAATCACGCCATTTGTTGAATCTCGCTCTGTTGTTTTTTTGTTTCAGAAAACGAAGCAAAAAAGGTATTGAAAAACCGTTTAGACATCTGGGAAGAAATGACGAGAGACATAGGCAAACCGGATGGCTCCAGAGTTTCAGAAGATGAGTATATTTCCAACTTCCTGCAAACCGTTAACACCAGTTACCGTGATTCGGCTGTAAGCTTTGCCTCCACTGACTTCGACTCCATAGATCTTGACGGAGACGGTTTCATCTCCCCAAAGGAGCACGAGGCGTTTTTCTACAGTTGGGGAATTCCCACAGAGCGCTCGGCAGATGTCTTTAAAACACTTGATAGAAACGGCGATGGCTTGATAAGCAAAGAGGAGTTCATTCAAGGAGCGATGGATTTCTCATTTACCGAAGATGAAAACAACCCCTACAATAATTTTCTTGGACCACTTGCAAATTAATTGTTTTGATAAATTGAAGTTATTCAAAAATGCAGTGGATTGCAAGTAACGCCCTAACATCAAACGTAAACCTATGTACATATTACAAGCTGTGTGGGAAAACATTTCGACTCAATGCCCCTACTAGTATGTAGAAAAAATTACCTTCATGGCAAGAAGGATGCCCCACCAAAATAGACCTCGTCATTACAGTATGTTTAAAAGCATTAAAACGTGACTCCATTCATGTAATAACAGCACCCGTAACTGTACATAATATGCATCTTATATTGACTTCAGTAAGGCATTTGGCAGTGTTTATAGAAAAAATTATGCATTCTTATTAAACTTCTAGAACAAAACAAAAGGATGTATTTTTTTGCAAACATACGGTCGATGTATCAACAAGGTAAAGTTCATGGTACATGAAAACTAGCACAAGTATAATTCATTCCGTTCTAAACGTTCAAAGGGGTAAACACAGGCGATGACATTGTCCCCTTTTGGTTTAATCTCCTTATACTTTATTTACTTAGACTTATGAATAATATGCAATTAATTTCTTATACTTATCAAAAATTCACTGCCTGGCATTGTCTTTGCAGACTGTCGGCTGCTACTGTCATAAAGTGCTTCCAACCTACGATTTAACCCCGTCTAGCAGCTACAGATAAAGGACACATGTACCGGTATCAATAAACCTGTCTAAACTGATTAGTTACAATCAACAGAAAGAGAGAAGTTATTACATAAATAGGAAACTAAAAAAAATGTATGCCATGCCATGATGATAGGAGACCTGTGTATATCTGATGAGCATGTGGAAAATGCCACAGCGGTATTTATAGGTGTGATGCAACATACAGAGACCGCCGGGTAACTCTTAATTTGCACATACAAAGGTACTGTGGCACTGAGTATGCAGATGGTGTATTAGGGGCACTTTTACACAACGTGTCCAAATACCGATCCCTACATTATAATTTGGATGATTTCACGCATGGTAACAATAGAAAGATAAGGAAAAAATGGTCGTGTGTGGAAAACTTCAAAGTCGTACAGCCAAATCAATTAATTTATTCTAAACATGCTTCGTTTTGCATTTATACGCTGTACCTGTAGCACATGCATGGATTTAAATAACGTCAACCCATGTTTCGAGTCGCGCTTTGGTGAATTGCATGAAAATAAACTACAGTAGTTATTCTGACTTCAGTAGCTTGAAATGATTATACACCTAAACAAACTTGTCCCTACACCATTCATACGTTGGCCTTGCAGAAACGAAAAAATACTTTGACACAAGGTTGCTTCAATTGTTATCGGAATACCTCAAATGCCTGTTATTTCAACGAACCAGCCAGATAATGTTCTATACACAATAGCTCTCCTGACATTGGGTCAGCCCGTCTGCAACGAAATAATGTTACCATATGGTATAGAGGAGACGGTCTATAGAAACTCTGTGAAGCGATATTATGTATCATCAGACGTGCATATAACATTACCTGTCAACGCCTTTATTAATGGCAGCACGTCTTCTTTTATATACAGCCTATGTTGCCTCATGCCCAGCGAACCGATTCCTCGTGTCCCCATTCACCCTGACACCAAAACTCCGCGGATTGCCCTTGAATAAGCCAGGAAACACTGCGCCGTTTTGGTCATTATGTAAAAATTTCCGTTAAAATAATTGTCGATTTCTATCTTTTTACCCAATTATTCAGTGAAGTCAGGAAACTGCTTTAAGCCTTAATTTAGAAACCGTATCTTGTATTTATGAAGAATGAGAATTTGTTTATGTCGGGGAATTTATAAGCATTGCTAGACTGAATAAGTAACGATCATGATAGACAAATTACCAGCTGTCGAATTGCATGTGAAGAGCAACAGTTTTGTTTTAGAGGGGATGAATGTACTAGCTGTCAACTTAGGCCCCAATTTAAAATTGCAGCATAATGAAAAACCATTTAACCATAGCAAAAAGGTGAATGGAAATAAATGTGATCATTCGGACAAGTATTTCAACAAAACAGAATCAAGATAAATAAAACCGACGGTAAAAACAGACTGTAGCCTCTGTGTGTCTGCAAATGTTATTAAATAATGGGTATATAGTAAGTTTTTTTTACGCTTTTTTATGTGCAGTTATTTAAACGTGCAATTGAGCCGATGTCAAACAACACTTAGTTTGGGATAATGGCATAAAAATATCCAACCCCTACAGAAAAATGCAAACTGCATTTGTAATCTGACAAACGGAGACAGGCACTTTCATGACTGAACAAAGCGCCTATAACCCCGTTCATCTTTTTGGCCTATAACAATAATTTTGACGTGAATTGATGCTACACATATTCAGGTTGTATATACATGTATAATACCTTCGAACAAATTTTGAGTGGTGATGCAATGCTTTTCAACCCCGCTGAGAATCGTCACTATCACATCGCGTACAAGGCAAGAGCGGTGTCGCGTCTGATACTGTGAAATGCGTACTGATACACGTGTCACCTTGAAAACGGGTAGTGTGGTCCAATTTACCGATGAATTCAGGATCATTCGGTGCCGAGTCTGGTAGTTGGGTAGGCCTGACCCACCTCCAAGAGAAATACCTTGTAGGTATGCGCAGAATAAAATGAAAACACGTCTTCATGCCATTTAAAACTACGTGTTATCAAAGACCTTACGTAACCAATGGTCGTGTTGGTTTTAGTAACTGCATCCAGTCTTTCATCTAGAATCATAAAAAGGAATAATTAAGCATTACCGGTCAGAAAGTTTTCATTTATGATATATCCTGAAATTTGATTTACCTGGTGACTGTTTCGTCTGTTCACTCTGACAGGCTTGGTCACAACTGAATTACCTGTTCAGGTGAAGATGAACAGGTAATTACCTCGGTCTTGATGATGACTTGTTAGTCCCTCTCGCTGACTGTTTCGTCTGTTCACTCTGACAGGCTTGGTCACAACTGAATTACCTGTTCAGGTGAAGATGAACAGGTAATTACCTCGGTCTTGATGATGACTTGTTAGTCCCTCTCGCCCCCCCCCCCCCCCCCGGGGTGGGTTTGAGAATGTCGTCATACACAAGCACACAAGCTGTCCCATGTGTATGACGACATTGGATTGCGCCTTTTACAGACTAGAGGTCAATTACTTGTGACAACCACTTGGTCATTCACTTGGGTTTTTAGAGTCAGTCAATGGGCCCCAGGAGGTTTTTCTAGAGCTGCTGGTGATTTTATCAGCGATAAAACCAACATTTTCTCTAACGGGCTGCAATTACAGTTTACTCTGGTATTGTCTTCTTATCAGATATATCTCCAGAACCTCCCCCTGACAGCGCCTGAATGGGACTTACCTGGATTTCCCCCTATCAGAAGACCGTTACAGGTGATTTAGCTCACAGAAATAGATCGTATCTGTTACTTTAACGATAAGATCAGTGTTTCGATCAGTTCCTCAATCAAGGACTCTAATTATATCTGTCTGTCATCAGAACTAGCAGGGCCAAGTTGACAGTGACAGGCAGGTGCTCTAGGCTGATTTCTTAATTGACAAATGCAAGTGGTACATGATCATTGCAATTCTGAAAATGGTGAAAGGATGTTGTGTGTCTGGCAGTACAGCTAACAATTATAAAAACCCACAGACAAAATTTTGTCAGCTGCCAACATTACCAGCACGACGACTTGAATGGCTAAGAGCAATCAATCGTGCTAATATAAATCCAGATGGGATTTTTGACATAAATAAGATGTGGAACCCTACCTCAAAATTTGTTTATGTGAGCTCAGCCCATTTTGTCACTGGTACAGTAATCATTAATGTGTTCAATATTTTAAGTGATTTTTTTATATTTATTGTAAGACTGTTATTGAATAAGTATATATTCTAATGTTTTTAAATTTAAAAATATGTATTCAAAATGACTTTGTTTTCCTACAGGGGCCAATGTTAATGATCCAGGGCATCCAGGTGACTGTCCGTCAATTATTCCACAGAATATTACCACCCAAGAAAAGTGTACACAGAAGGTGCTACGCTTTGAACGTGCAGCTAAAAATGTTGAACAGAATTTAAGATATACAATCAATATTTATTAGGGTCGTTTTTCAACATAATGATGGGTTTGCTTTTTTGTATAGGCCCAACTACTTGTAAATAGCTTCAAGATGTGTACTCCTTGCTTGTTTTTACATTAAAAGTATGTTAATCTCATAACCTCATAAAAAGTGAATTGATATCTTACAGGTGTCGTTTTTCTATGTTATATGTTTCTGTAATTTGGATCACACCCAATAAAGAAATTTAAACAAACCTGTACGGACGGATACAACTCCCAAGAATTCACTGCACATTGTGATGCACGAGGTGACCTTGTGGAAGATCCACATGAAGGTATAATACTAGTAGTTTTTTGTCTAAGTAGAAGTAGTAGCTGAAAGAGGTCAGAATGTTGACACTTCTGAAAATGCATAATCTTCATCCTTTGTCAGTTTTGATTCCGTTTATTAATATATTGCCATTTTAGATATTTTCTGCTAAATTTAATCAAGTTTGAGTATTAGGTACCCCCAACCACAAGACCGTTATTGTGAAATTTGGTATTGGCGTACAATGATATTATGATTCATCATTAAGTTATTACTACCGAACAGATAACTCATTTATTTTTTGTGATACTTCAGCCATACAAGCAGAGGACAGTGTTCCAAAAAAAAAAAAAAAAAAAAAAAAAATGAATGAACACACTATTGGAAATGTCAGAAAGAGAGCAGATATATGAAGAGACGAGCTCGTTGAGACATGAAAGAGATGAGGCCCTGTCCCGTATTGCAAGTTTGGAGAAGTTACTTACTTTGACATCACTCAGTACGTCTTCTGTTGAAGGCAATGATGAGGCGTGTAAAATGATGACTGGTCTTTCATGGGGTGTATTCATGTGCCTTACTACTGCAATGAGAGCCTTGTTCCCATCAGTGAAATAAGGTACTTTACCCTTGAAGGAGCAACTGTTTGTGACACGTACTTTTGAAATTAAGACACAATCTCACGTTTGAATTTTTAACACATATTAAGGGGATTCCCAAAACAACTATGATTGACATTTTTTGGAAATGGATTGACATGCTCTATTCCAAACTAAGCTTCACAATTGTACCGACACACAGAGAACATATATTTAGAACATTACCAGAAGTATTCAAAGATAAATTCCCCCGGTTAACGTCAATTGTGGACTGTTGTAAAATATTCATAGAGGCACTACAAAATCTCTTAGCCCGTGCACAGACTTATAGCAGCTACAAAAACACACAACGATTCATTTTTTTATTTCCTGTAACCCGAATGGCCATATCAACTTTTTGTCTAAAATTTGGGGTGGTAGAGCATCTGATGTGATGATAGTGAGAGAGGTTTCCTCCTTCATGACGAGTTAGCAACACGATGCAGTGCCCAGCTCCTCACACCAGCTTTCACAAAAGGCCATAGAAAAATGCCAGGTATTGGCCTACAGGGATAAAGTAAGGTGTCCTCACTTAGGACCCATATTGAAAGACTGATACATGTTGTCCTAAAATAGGTACACTATTTTGAAAGGCACGTTACCCCTGAGATGTGACAAAAGTATTAAAGATGAAAGTATGGATGCTGCAGTATCAAGTGGTGATGAAATAGAGTGTGTGCAGCTTTGGTAAACCTGGGTCCATCCATAGTGTTTAAGTAGTCATGTAACTGTAGGGAAGTGTTAATGATAAATTGTTTTGATATTTAGCTTGTGACTATTAAAGCAGTTGCTTAATTAGTTGGCTCATGTTATAGGAATCCTCAGACGTAACTCTAGACAAAATTTTGAATACAAATTGATTGCTTATCTTATTGTTGCCTGTTGATAGATTAGGAAATAAAATGTGTATTCAAAGTTGTAAATTTTTATTGCATTTTTACTATTATTTTCATTTTATAGAGAAAGTACTGTATATAGTGTAACAACCCCAGATTGTGTTAGTTGGGCTCAACCGGAAAAGGTCAGATTGTGTGGGTTGGGTTCAACCGGAAAAGAGAAAGAGAGTGGAGGCCGGGAAGGAGAAAGGAAGGGAGTCACCGTGGAAAGCTAATGTTTCCAGGAATTTATAGACCAAAACATATATAGCCTGGAAATAGAGCAACCCAGCATGGTGACCTTTATGAAATGATTACAAAGATAATGACATTTCAGTGATGGTGAGCTTTATGAAATGATAACAAAGACCGTGACATATCAGTGACATTTGTAACACCGGCGCCGGTGTCCACGTCAGTGACCGGTTTATCATTCATGATAACTTTCATGACGAATTATTCAACCTCCCTGGTATATAAAGAGAATGATGTCGACATGCCGCCTCCTCCACCGTCGCTTTCATCGTTTCTAGTACCAGTGCCACCATGAAGATGTTTAAACTAGAAGGACAGCTAGTGTTCCGGATAACTGTGTCAACGTGTCGCCTCCTCCATCATCGTCTTCACCGCTTTTAGTACCAATGCTTCCATGAAGACGTGTGAACGGGAATTAAGTAGGATTGTTACATAGTTTATTTTGTCAAATGACTATGCATTTAGAGACATTGTTGATATATATTAATAAATTATATTTGAGAGTACATATAAAACTTTATTTTGTCATAACAATAGAAATGATATATGATATTAAAACAATAAATTCTGTTTGTGATGGGATAGTATTTTAGCATTTGGTGCATTTCTTTTTTTTTCTTTTTTTTTGTGGATGGGGGGTGTCTACTCTTCAGGTGCATTTAACTAAATTGTTTCAATAATGTAAAAATTATGGATAATAAATCAGTCTTTTTTAGAGATATTTTGAAACAATAGATTTAAACCATGTATATAGGTTGGTGATAGTTGCATTTGAAAGTCAAACTACCAGTGGCTTTTAAAGATGGGTAACAGGACACCCAACTCTTCCATAATGAATATACATCATCATTTATTAATGTGTCATGTGTATAGAGCACCCAGCCTTTCGGGCTTATAAGACACTTGTTGTATACATTTTTCCTGTCTTAAATCAAAAATCTTAACAACAAATTTTGGTGATTGCATCAATTTTTTTTCCATTATATGAATATATTATTGAGAATGAACAACTTGGTAATATTGAGACTAATTATAATCTCATTAAACAAAATGCAGCTACCTGTACGGGAGGTGGGACAAACTGACAGTCTCACTTATTGGTGTACTCTCACTTTTGTTTATCCACATTATCAAGTTTTCTTATCAAGTTGCCTCCCCAGGTAGAGGTGGGGTAAACAAATAATGTCACTCTTCCAGGTATTCTTTGAGACACTGTCACTTTTAACTGTTTCACCAAACCCTACTTGATCAAGCTTCCTGCCATTGTCAATCTCCAGGTAAAGGGGGGGATAAACAAATAATCTCTCTTGTCCAGGTATCCCTTTGGTTCAAGGGGGGGGGGGGGGGTTCTCCTAAAAAATTAAAAACTACATATGAAAGTCCAGAATAGTTAAATATATTTTAATGAGGTAAGCATGCCTGTTAATGTTCACCTTTGATGGTATCAGCAGTGAGTAACCTAAGATACCGTGTAACTCTATTGATTGCAATCAAAATGTAATTATTCCAAGTAAACTTTTCCCAAAGACAACTGCATAGTTACTTTAATGGTAGAGCCTGGAAGTAATCTTTTTAGTAAAAAGTAACATTTGAGTTTATTCATAGGGAAGAGGAGGCAAATCCCAAGGATGCATCATGTGTTCTCCAAGAAATGCAAGGAACATTACAAATAACACATACACACACATATATACACAAAAAACAACAACAAAAAAGATAGCAAAGAAACAAAGAAAAGGAATTATTACAGTAAAAGAAAATGATGCTGATTAACAACTAAGCAGAATAGTGAAATCAATCAGATGAAATAACCCATCATACGAAGGAAGGAATTCACCCGCCTACGTATATACACGATCTAGAAGTTAAGGAAGTATAGAAAGAAATGGGAGTGTGCATGACATTTGGGACAATATGTACCTTTCCTTCTCTCACGATTCTCTCATTAATTAAGATTAATGATTGCAAAATTAACATAATTAATTATTTTACCCCCATTATGTTATGGCGCTGTTCTTGCTTATTAAAGATTGGCCCACGAAATTTCACGAATATACAGAAGACATTTTTTTTTATAAAAGAATGCAATGATTACAGCACGGAGTGTCGGGATAAAAAGCAATACAGTCAGTAAAACACATTAATATATCCGTGGTTATAAATGACGTAATTATATATAATTGGTTAGAAAGTAATAAATCACTGATGGCAGCCTTTGTGTGTCTTCAAGAGTTTGGCTTACATGTACAAAGGCCAAGGAAGATCCGACCGGTACAGAAAAGCGCAGATTAAAAAGCTTGAATATTTTGATATCTGACAAACTAAGACAGGTACATTGTACGTTTTGGGACTTACCAAATCGTTTCAGACACCGTAACAATGACATGTTTATCTGTTTCGGCCTATAACATTTTTTTTTGTCCGAGGAGAAGTGCAGTGTATTGATGATACTCATATTTGAATTGTGTCACGTTATAGGCCTACTCACAGTTACATCAAAGAATCCTATATTCAATGCCAAAACAATATTTTCTGACCTTAAACTGAAACCGACTCCCTCATAAAGAAAGAGTGAGCCTCATTATAGCATGCAAGCACGTGAATATTCAACGACATGTTCATGTATACATAACCTGTGACCCCAAAAGTGTCAGTTACTGCATCGACTCTTTCATTTAAAGCCATGCAGAACGAACGATTACCCCATATTTTTGATGCAGCTCTGCATACAAAACTATGTATATCCAGTAAACCTAACTCGCCTGTCTTCACAAATGTTAGTTCAGGATCCCTAGACAACGGAAGAATGTCGTTGTTACGTTTTCCCAAACAACTAACCCAAGGTTCGTTTTTGCGCCATTTTTCGAAGCAGACGGTTTCCATTCAGAAGGTGAGCATATATACACCAGACAACGAAAGCTTTAAAGTGTATCTTGAAAAAGAAATAACGAATACGAATAAAGTAAGATTATTTAGTGAAGGACAATTGCTCATCCTGAAAACGGGGGCAGAAGGGGGCTGAAGCCTCTCCGCTTTTCTTTGGGAGTACACGTCTTCCTGCCAAAAACAGTGTAGCAAATCAAAACAAAAAGAAGCAATTTTCTATTTCTGTATTTCTATATTTGTCGTTGCCGTTGTCGCAGGGACGACGTGTGGGGAGGCGGAGAGACTATTAAAAGATTAGGCGGTTTTTCTTTCATGTACGTCCGCCATTTTTAGGTCACCGGCTTTGTAAAGCCTGGCTTAATTCGTTGAGAATGCGCTCCAAGAGACCATTCCCAGAGACTGTCGTACTAACTTTGGATCGATCTTGTTCCATGTATGGTCAGGTTTACACTGTTAGATTTTGTTTTGTGTCGTTCTTTTTTTTGTATTTCTCAATAAATGGCGTAAAGAATGTGAGTTGATATGAATCTTGTTCAAGATAACCTAAAGGTACATCACACGCATTTTAGACCCCTCATGACTACCCTATGGTGAAAGGTTCGGAAATATGGAAAAGAAAATGCAGGACTTTCTTCAGGGCCAATGATGTAGACGGTGACGGATACCTGACAAGGAGAGATTATGAACTGAGCGCCCATCGCGTTACAGCTTACATGTGTCTTGACGGTAGCACAGCAAAACATTCTATTTTATATAAGTTTTTGTTTAATATAGAGCTGTTATTTGTGCTCACATTAGTCAATCGACTTAGTGTAAACTTGCTGCAATATCAAAATGATGAATTATGACCACAACAAAATGTTACATGATTGTAGCTTAAAGTGACAAAAAAGTTTACATTATTGAATACTTACCAATCGTAACTACCAATGATATATATATATATATAACTATAAGGTCATTGAATGTGATGTAATCACGTCATTAGTTGAATCAAGCTCTGTTGTTTTATTGTTTCAGAAAACGAAGCAAAAAAGGTATTTAAAAACCGTTTAGACATCTGGGAAGGAGTGTCGAGAGGAATAGGCAAACCGGATGGCTCCAGAGTTTCAGAAGATGAGCATATTTCCAACTTCCTTCAAACCGTTAATACCAGTTACCGTGATTCGGTTGTGAGCTTTGCCTCCACTGACTTCGACGCCATAGATCTTGACGGAGACGGTTTCATCTCCCCAAAGGAGCACGAGGCGTTTTTCTACAGTTGGGGAATTCCCACAGTGCACTCGGCAGATGCTTTTAAAACACTTGATAAAAACGGCGATGGCTTGATAAGCAAAGAGGAGTTCATTCGAGGAGCGTTGGATTACTCATTTACCGAAGATGAAAACAACCCCTACAATAATTTTTTTGGACCAATTGCAAATTAATTGTTTTGATAAATTGAATTTATTCCAAAATGCAATGGATTGCAAGTAACGCCCAAACATTTACCGTAAGCCTATCTACATATTACAAGATGTGTGGGAAAACATTTCGACTCAATGCCCTCACTTGTATGTAGAAAAAAATTATATCTATGGCAAGAAGGATGCCCCACATCTCAACCAAAATAGAACTCGACATTATAAGCAGTATGTTTAAAAGGATTAAACAGGGACTTCATTCATGTAATAACAGCACCCGTAACTGTACATACAGTATATGAATCTTATGTTGACTTCAGTAAGGTATTTGGCAGTTTTTAGATAATTACGCATTTTCAAACTTCTAGAACAAAACAAATGGATATATGTATTTATGCAAACATACGGTTGATGTATCAACAAGGTACAGTTCATGGTGCATGAAAACTAGCACAAGTCTAATTCATTCCGTTCTAAACGGGACTAATGAACTAATGAAATGTGCAGTTATTTTCTTATACTTAGCAACAATTCACTGCCTGGCATTGTCACTGCAGATTGTCTGATGCTACTGTTATGAAGTGCTTCCAGCCTACGATTTAACCATATCGAAAATATAGATAAAGGCCATCGATAGGTATCAATAAACCTGTCTAAATTGATTAGTTACTACATGTATCAGTAGAAAGAGGAAATTTTTACATAAATAGAAAACCAAAAAAAAAAAAAAACAATGTATGCCATGAATCGATAGGAGACCTGTGTATATCCGATGATCATGTGGAAAATGTCACAGCGGTATTTATAGGTGTGATGTAACTCAAACATACAGAAACCGCCGGTAACTCTAAATTTGTACATATAAAGGTATTGTGGTACTGAGTATGCAGATGGTGCATTAGGGGCCTTTTTCCACAACGTGTCCAAATTCCATCAACCCTTGTCATAATTTGGCTTAAACCGTTACACAAAGAAACGAAAAAAAAAAAAAAAACCAAAAAAACAACCATTTATGAGAAATAAAGTACTTTGGTGAGCTGGAAGTATGCTAACTGCGTGCACTATGAAGTATGACTTGCATATGCAGAAAGAAACCGTGTTGCAACCGCTGCTATGAGTAAAAATAAGTGTTATACGCTATATTTGTTCTGCAAATGTCCTCTTTATTTTATGTTTTAAAGATAAATAGCAACGTGTTTAATTGAACTCTGTGCTATCTGAAGAGTTAAATTGTATATTAATTTCAGCAACACGTTAATGCTGTAGATATTTATGGTATAAACACCATATCATCCCTTAGCAAAATGAAAAGTTTGCAGCAAACTTGCAAAAAATTTGCAGCAAATTTGTTGCAAACCAAATAGTTTGCAAGAAACTGTTTGCAGGTTGTTGCAAGAAAAATCACAGCTGTTGCAAATTTGCTGCAAATTTGCAGGAAGATTAAAAGTTTGCAGGTAGTTCGCAAGAAAACTATCATTTTCTAGCGAATTCTTGCAAATTTGCTGCAAATTTGCAAGAAGACCTTCATTTACATAAAAGTTTGCTGGAAGTTTGCAAGAAAGACTATACACTGTTGCAAATTTGCAGCAAATTTGCAAGAAACTGCTCATTTACATAAAAGCCTGAAGAAAGTTTGCAAGGATAAATATACCCTGTTGCAAATTTGAAACCTTCATTTACATAACATTTTGCAGGAAGTTTGCAAGAAAGACTAACATTGTTGCAAATGCAGTAAATTTGCAATAAGCTCCTCATTTACATAAAGGTTTGCAAGAAACTCAAGCTTTTATACGCACCAAGTTTATTCATTTGCAAGAAATTGCAAGAAATTGTTTCATGTTTGCAGCAAATTTGAAAATTCTTTTTCATATAAAAGTTTGCCTGAGTTTTGCAAGAAAGTCCATACCTTTTTTTACTAACATACAGTTAAATTAATGATGTTTGCACTGAGCATGGGTGTCAGGAAGTGCCATTTTCAAGCCAAAATGTTAGTATTAAGTTTAAAAAGAGAAAAAATAGGCCAAGTTAACTAACAGCTTATGAGATTTTTGCACGAAACTAAGAAATTTATAAACTTTAGTTTATGAGAAGTCTGAAGACACCTGAAGACACTTAGGCATTTGTTAATAGTTTGGGAGACGTTTGCAAGAAGACATTTACTTAGTTTGCATCAAATTTTCAAGATACTCAGCAGTCTAGTTACAGTTTGCGATAAGTTTGCAAGAAACTTGGACATAAACTTACAATTCACAAGAAGTTTGCAAGAAACTTAAACAATTACTTACAGTTTGCGAAAAGTTTGCAAGAAACTTAGACAATTACTTACAGTTTGCCATAAGTTTGCAAGAAACTTAGACATCAACTTACAGTTCACAAGAAGTTTGCAAGAAACTTAGACAATTACTTACAGTTCGCGATAACTTTGCAAGAAACTTAGACAATTACTTACAGTTCGCGACAAGTTTGTAAGAAACTTAGACAATTACTTACAGTTCGCGATAAGTTTGCAAGAAACTTAGACAATTACTTACAGTTCGCGA